CCGACACCTGTGGAGGACTACAGGGAACCACTGGAGCAGATGTACGCACTTATAAGGTGATCCCTCTGTCACATTGGACTCTGGATCCAACAAGAAGTGTTTCTGAGAAACTTTTCCTGTGGTTGTGTCTATGGTAACCACTGGGAAGCCCATCTGGAGCACCCAGGGGTTCATGATGGAGTCAACATGTCGAGGAAGCGATACGTTTCTGTCATCCACTGCCTACGCAAAACACATTCCAGCAGTTAAAAGCTGAATATCTGCATCCAAAGGTGATGATCACAGGTAGGGTTAAAGGTTAATGGTTAGGGCTACACCCATCGTTTCTGTAAGTGTAACAGCATCTTCACGGTACCTTCTCCAGATGTCCCCACAGGGCTCCGCTGACCGCGTTACCATAGGAGAAATATCTGAGGTAACTCTGTAGAACAAATGTTCCAAGTCATCTACGGGTAAACAGAAGAAGAGGTCCACCAGAAGAAAGGAAGCTAGCTTACACTGAGTCCCTGCCTGAAGACCGGCTCCGACAGGAAGTCCGACAGCATCCTGAGCACCGCGGCGCCCTGGGAGGTTGAACAGATCCAATAATTTCATCGTTTAACCAGCTGAAGAACCACCCAAACCAAAGCTAAATCAGTTCAAATGACACTGATCCAGAGAGGATTCTGACCCGTGCTCTACAGGTCACTCAGGCTTCAGAACCTCAGACTGGACCTGGGACAAGATGAACGAGTGGTCCTGCTGTACCTTGCTGTAGGAGATGGTATCAAACTGCTCCAGGATCTGCTCCGGGAGGACGATGCTGTCTTCTCTGGAGCTCAGAGGATGAGACGATGTCAGCGCATCTACTGCAAACACTTTGTGCACGTTGTTCAGCACGATCAGGTCTTTCTGGATCAGACACACTCAGCTGATATCAGAACATGACAGAGTGACCCGAACCCAGACAGATCCGCACAACTCACCACGCTCCAGTCAGGCTCGGCGTAGTCCGCCCCCAGGTACGCCACGTAGGAGGCAAAGCCCTCGTTTAGCCAGACCTCGTTCCACCAGCGAAGCGTCACCAGGTTCCCGAACCACTGCAGAACAGCAGGTGGCAGTCAGCCTGAGGCCCGGTCCAGGAGAAGACCGCATAAAACCAGTCGTTACCATGTGGGCCAGCTCATGAGCTATGATGGTGGCTGTGGTCTCTTTGTTTCTGTTGGAGGAGGTCTCCGGATCATACAGGAGGTTGGTTTCTCTGTAGGTCACCAGTCCCCAGTTCTCCATGGCACCAAAATAAAAGTCTGGTAGAGCGATCTGATCTGCGATCCAGAACCAGAACCGGTTGATCCAGTGTTTAGGACTCTTCCTTAAGTGTTGAAGAAGCTCACCTGATTTGCTCAGAGGATACGAGATGTTGTAGTAAGACTGGAAGAAGTCCAGAACCAGTCCTGTGATGTTGAGGGCGTAGTCTCCCTGTCCCTGCTCGATGGCCTTCCTCCGAGCCCAGATCCGGATCTGAGCAGACGACAGGAGACAGGTGAGCTCACCTGAATCAGGTAAGAGCTCCAGCAGTTGAGAGAAAACGTCTGATGTGAGGTCATCAAGGTCATTCCTACCTCAGTTTGTCCTTGGGAGGCCTCCAGGTGAGCGTAGTCAGAGACGATGACGGCCAGCAGGTAGGTGGACATCTTCGGAGTGGACTCAAATGTGGTCTTCAGCAGAGCTTCTCCATCCACGGTGATGTTAGCAATGTCTGCAGAGAGCAAACGCTGTTGGTCTGGTTGTGTAGCACAGAGACAGGACCACTACCGCTCACCGCTTCTACTGGTTCTGGTTCTGTACCGGTTTCCTTGCCGTTGGACAGCGCCACGGTTCCAGGCGGGTGGAGAAGGATCACGTTAAAAACAGCTTTCATGGCCGGCTCATCAAAACACGGGAACGTCTTCCTGGCGTGAGTGGGATGCATCTGGGAGGTGGCCACAATCCTGCAGAGAGTTTTGATGGTAAATCAACCGTAGAACAGACAGTGGAACAGAACCAGAACCGACCTTCTGACTCCGTCTTCTTCGTATTCACTGCGGTAAAATCCAGCCAGGTCGTCAGCGAGTTCCCCAGAGAACTCTGTAATCAGCTGATACTTGTGCCCCGGAGTCAGGTCCGCCGTCAGATGGATTACCAGGTACTGGGTCGTCAGCTGAAACCACGTCTGTGTGACGTCTGGAGCAGAACCACCTCCTGCAGAAAGAAACAATCTGATGGCCCACCATAATGCTTCAGACAGATTTCCTGGGTTCCCAGGACTCCTTCAACACCTTGGTGCTGTTGTGGATCTGCTCCTGGATCCCGGTTCTCTTCCATGATCCGGTTCTGATCCAGTCTTTAGAGAGAGTCTCAAATGAAACTTTAGAACACTTTGTTATCCAGAGGAATTCCTGGCGGACTCAGAGAAGACTCCTGGGTCAGAACCGGCCCAAACCATCAACCCTCCCCCACCATGCTGAAAGTTGGGAGCAGCTGTTGGAACTGCAGTGAATTCTGGGTAAATATCTCCACGCTGGTTTCATTGTTCCTGACGGTTTCCATTTTTTCCGATCAAGCTTAACTAGCATTAGCTGCCCTGACCTTTGACCTTTGGGGCTTCATGATAATGTGTTAACACACACGTGTACGCTCCAGAGCATCTACCTCATGTTAAACACACACACGTGTACGCTCCAGAGCATCTACCTCATGTTAACACACACGTGTACGCTCCAGAGCATCTACCTCATGTTAACACACACACGTGTACGCTCCAGAGCATCTACCTCATGTTAACACACACGTGTACGCTCCAGAGCATCTACCTCATGTTAACACACACGTGTACGCTCCAGAGCATCTACCTGATGTTAACACACACGTGTACGCTCCAGAGCATCTACCTGATGTTAACACACACGTGTACGCTCCAGAGCATCTACCTCATGTTAACACACACGTGTACGCTCCAGAGCATCTACCTGATGTTAACACACACGTGTATGCTCCAGAGCAGTGGTTCCTAACCTGGGGGTCCCGACCCCCACAAGGGGGCGCCAAAGCCTCTCAGAGGGTTGCCAGGACCTCTCCACTTTAAGGGGTTAAAACTTCATTTATTACTTGTTTATAGCCTACATTTTGCTCACAATTTTTTTTTCATGAGTGAAACGTTTACTGATATTAAGACAGGAAATAATTAGTACAGAAAAAGTAACACACTTTTAAGAACATTTTGCTCAGCTCACTGTTTTATTTTCAAGTGTCAAAAGTTCATTAGAGATAGGGCTGGTTGATTAATCACAGCCGCCACTGTAAATAATCTAGTATAAACAGTAATATACACATTTAAGTACATTTTGCTTAGTGTATTTTTTATGTGTCAAACGTTTATTGAAAGGAATGATTGATTTATCAGTGTTTACAAGAAACAATGTGTTCAGAAAAGTAATACAAACTGTCAAGCACATTATGCTCTGTTTGGTTTTGTTAATGACTTTGTTCTGTACTGGAGCCTACTATTACTGTTATCTATTGAATCAAAGCATATTAAAATGTGCTTGAACAATTTTATCATTTCTTAATAATGTCTGTACTGGAAGAGAGAATGGGAGGGGGTCGTCAAAAATTTTACTGGTAAAAAACGGGGTCCATTGGGAAAAAGGTTGGGAACCACTGCTACAGAGCATCTATCTCATGTTAACACACACACACACACATACGCTCCAGAGCATCTATCTGATGTTAACACACACATACGCTCCAGAGCATCTACCTGATGTTAACACACACATACGCTCCAGAGCATCTACCTCATGTTAACACACACACACACATACGCTCCAGAGCATCTACCTGATGTTAACACACACATACGCTCCAGAGCATCTACCTGATGTTAACACACACATACGCTCCAGAGCATCTACCTGATGTTAACACACGTGTACGCTCCAGAGCATCTACCTCATGTTAACACACACACACATACGCTCCAGAGCATCTACCTCATGTTAACACACACACACATACGCTCCAGAGCATCTACCTCATGTTAACACACACACATACGCTCCAGAGCATTTATCTGATGTTAACACACACATACGCTCCAGAGCATCTACCTGATGTTAACACACACATACGCTCCAGAGCATCTACCTGATGTTAACACACACATACGCTCCAGAGCATCTACCTGATGTTAACACACGTGTACGCTCCAGAGCATCTACCTCATGTTAACACACACACACACACATACGCTCCAGAGCATCTACCTCATGTTAACACACACACACATACGCTCCAGAGCATCTACCTCATGTTAACACACACATACGCTCCAGAGCATCTACCTCATGTTAACACACGTGTACGCTCCAGAGCATCTACCTCATGTTAACACACACACACATACGCTCCAGAGCATCTACCTCATGTTAACACACACACATACGCTCCAGAGCATCTACCTCATGTTAACACACACATACGCTCCAGAGCATCTACCTGATGTTAACACACGTGTACGCTCCAGAGCATCTACCTCATGTTAACACACACACACATACGCTCCAGAGCATCTACCTCATGTTAACACACACACACATACGCTCCAGAGCATCTACCTCATGTTAACACACACATACGCTCCAGAGCATCTATCTGATGTTAACACACACATACGCTCCAGAGCATCTATCTGATGTTAACACACACATACGCTCCAGAGCATCTACCTCATGTTAACACACACACACATATGCTCCAGAGCATCTACCTCATGTTAACACACACACACATACGCTCCAGAGCATCTACCTCATGTTAACACACACATACGCTCCAGAGCATCTACCTGATGTTAACACACACATACGCTCCAGAGCATCTATCTGATGTTAACACACACATACGCTCCAGATTATCTACCTGATGTTAACACACGTGTACGCTCCAGAGCATCTACCTCATGTTAACACACACACACATACGCTCCAGAGCATCTACCTCATGTTAACACACACATACGCTCCAGAGCATCTACCTGATGTTAACACACGTGTACGCTCCAGAGCATCTACCTCATGTTAACACACACACACATACGCTCCAGAGCATCTACCTCATGTTAACACACACACACATACGCTCCAGAGCATCTACCTCATGTTAACACACACATACGCTCCAGAGCATCTACCTGATGTTAACACACACATACGCTCCAGAGCATCTATCTGATGTTAACACACACATACGCTCCAGAGCATCTACCTGATGTTAACACACGTGTACGCTCCAGAGCATCTACCTCATGTTAACACACACACACATACGCTCCAGAGCATCTACCTCATGTTAACACACAGACACATACGCTCCAGAGCATCTACCTCATGTTAACACACACATACGCTCCAGAGCATCTACCTGATGTTAACACACGTGTACGCTCCAGAGCATCTACCTCATGTTAACACACACACACATACGCTCCAGAGCATCTACCTCATGTTAACACACACACACATACGCTCCAGAGCATCTACCTCATGTTAACACACACACACATACGCTCCAGAGCATCTACCTCATGTTAACACACACACACATACGCTCCAGAGCATCTACCTCATGTTAACACACACATACGCTCCAGAGCATCTACCTGATGTTAACACACATACGCTCCAGAGCATCTACCTCATGTTAACACACACACACATACGCTCCAGAGCATCTACCTCATGTTAACACACACACACACATACGCTCCAGAGCATCTACCTCATGTTAACACACAAGTACGCTCCAGAGCATCTACCTCATGTTAACACACACACACATATGCTCCAGAGCATCTACCTCATGTTAACACACACACACATACGCTCCAGAGCATCTACCTCATGTTAACACACACATACGCTCCAGAGCATCTACCTGATGTTAACACACACATACGCTCCAGAGCATCTATCTGATGTTAACACACACATACGCTCCAGAGCATCTACCTGATGTTAACACACGTGTACGCTCCAGAGCATCTACCTCATGTTAACACACACACACATACGCTCCAGAGCATCTACCTCATGTTAACACACACACACACATACGCTCCAGAGCATCTACCTCATGTTAACACACACATACGCTCCAGAGCATCTACCTGATGTTAACACACGTGTACGCTCCAGAGCATCTACCTCATGTTAACACACACACACATACGCTCCAGAGCATCTACCTCATGTTAACACACACACACATACGCTCCAGAGCATCTACCTCATGTTAACACACACAAACGCTCCAGAGCATCTACCTGATGTTAACACACACATACGCTCCAGAGCATCTATCTGATGTTAACACACACATACGCTCCAGAGCATCTACCTGATGTTAACACACGTGTACGCTCCAGAGCATCTACCTCATGTTAACACACACACACATACGCTCCAGAGCATCTACCTCATGTTAACACACACACACATACGCTCCAGAGCATCTACCTCATGTTAACACACACATACGCTCCAGAGCATCTACCTGATGTTAACACACGTGTACGCTCCAGAGCATCTACCTCATGTTAACACACACACACATACGCTCCAGAGCATCTACCTCATGTTAACACACACACACATACGCTCCAGAGCATCTACCTCATGTTAACACACACACACATACGCTCCAGAGCATCTACCTCATGTTAACACACACACACATACGCTCCAGAGCATCTACCTCATGTTAACACACACATACGCTCCAGAGCATCTACCTGATGTTAACACACATACGCTCCAGAGCATCTACCTCATGTTAACACACACACACATACGCTCCAGAGCATCTACCTCATGTTAACACACACACACACATACGCTCCAGAGCATCTACCTCATGTTAACACACACATACGCTCCAGAGCATCTACCTGATGTTAACACACACATACGCTCCAGAGCATCTATCTGATGTTAACACACACATACGCTCCAGAGCATCTACCTGATGTTAACACACGTGTACGCTCCAGAGCATCTACCTCATGTTAACACACACACACATACGCTCCAGAGCATCTACCTCATGTTAACACACACACACATACGCTCCAGAGCATCTACCTCATGTTAACACACACATACGCTCCAGAGCATCTACCTCATGTTAACACACGTGTACGCTCCAGAGCATCTACCTCATGTTAACACACACACACATACGCTCCAGAGCATCTACCTCATGTTAACACACACACACATACGCTCCAGAGCATCTACCTCATGTTAACACACACACACACATACGCTCCAGAGCATCTACCTCATGTTAACACACACACACATACGCTCCAGAGCATCTACCTCATGTTAACACACACATACGCTCCAGAGCATCTACCTGATGTTAACACACATACGCTCCAGAGCATCTACCTCATGTTAACACACACACACACATACGCTCCAGAGCATCTACCTCATGTTAACACACAAGTACGCTCCAGAGCATCATCTTCTAGAGGAGAGGTTTAATGTTAAACTAAAACAAAGAGAAAACACATTTTCCATGTTTATTATTTCATTCAAATAAAGACTCAGGTGTTTTTTATACCTGCAGCAGTGAGTTTAGCAGCATGAGCCTCGTCCATTGTTGTGAAGTTTAGTTTGTTGGAGTGGATCAGGATCAGATCTGTTGCTCTCAGACACTCAAACTGCACGATGGAGCGTCCTGATGAATCCAGAACACCGACCAGTTAAACCTGAATCGTCTGACTGTAGTTTATCAACTCAAACAGCTGTGATGTTATGAATACTCTATGCGGCCCTGCTGCACTTTTACTTGCCAGTGAAAATGTAGAGGCCAGAGTTTGGGTTGGGTCGCAGACGGGGCCACAGAGTGATGTTGTAGAACTCAGGGACCAAAGATGAGGGCAGACGAAACCTGAGAAGATCACCAGCAACAGAAAGCCTTGGTTCAGTCCTTCAAAGCCTGCCCCAACAGACTTTTACTATGAAATCCAACCACTTCCTGCTGCGTTCCTTCAACTCATGAGTGTCCTACCTGTCCCAAGGAGCTGTCATATCATCATCTCCATCACCCCCTGTGAAAGCAATAGTCCACAATGTGACAATGGTTGCAATGGAGGCCAGAGCTAAGACAGCACAGAGGACACACAGAACGCTGACTCTGCAGCTTTTTCCCATCCCGCCTCGACCTGCTCAGCAGCAGGAGATAGAACCCGAGCCCATCTGCTCTGCAGAGCCTGCTGCAGAATGAGGTAGTTCTGAGGATTGACTCACGCACACACGCCCACACACATCCTCCTCCACCAGCAGCGGTCATGACGAGGACGGTGCTGCTGATAAGTGATGATTAACAACATTCCGTAACATTTTACTGCACGTTCACACGGCCGCAAATCACAGCGGCAGAGCTCAGACACAAGCTTTAGTTGTCTCTATTCTCAGAGGTCAAAGGTCACATGGCTTTAAAATATATATCACCACAGGCTGAAGTTCTGTTTTTCTACCTGAAACGTTTCCTTTCAGACTCATGGTAGGATTTTAAAATTACCGATTGAATCAGAGTTTTAACGCCCGTCTGCAGCTGGACTCATTCCGGCTGCTTCGCTCCGATCAGCTGCTAAATTATTGCAGATTAAAGCCTCCTGTGTGTTTCAGCAGAATCAGCTGTAGCAGGTCTGTTTGGGAGGGGTCACGGAGGTCATGTAACGCAGTAAAATCCCTAGCAACCAAAAGTCTTAGAAAGGTGTAGGCATCATGAATATGTGGTTCAAATCTTTATGAAACCTATTCATTCTCATTAGTGCAGCTTTTACAGTGAAGACAAACACACATGCAGTCGTGGTCAATGAGAAGAACACAGGACGGATCAACAGGAATCGTTTTTATTTCCCAGATTCTGAAGCAGCGGGATGGCATCTTTCTGTTCAATCCAAGGTCAAAGGTTACAGGATGAAAAATCCAGGTTCAGGTTGATGATCTATACAAACAGCTGTCATAAACAAACCTTTCTAAATAAATAAAAGCTCTCCAGACATTAAACTGACAGGATACAAGACCAACTTGTTCACTTTTACTATAATTATTCATCATTTACAAAAAGAAATCCTGCTTACCTTGGGAATTAAAGCAGACTCTCCTTTTAATCATAAATATAAAATGACATTAAAAAGGCTAAACAGCAATGGTAAATATCTGTTTAAGGAGTTTTAATAAACAACAGCTGACCTCTGGAGGACAGCAGCACCTTCACGTCTGATTATTAATCACAGAAAATGTTTGATTTCCTCCATAAAAATAGAAAAGCTTCACAAGAAGGTTGTTGTTGTAACGACGCCTTCAGCAGGTTCCTCGTTAGGATTTACCTTCGGCAGTAAACCAGTTCAGAACCATTTCCTGGTTCTCTAAACGCCACCTGATGTTAGCTTGGGTCCTCTCAATGGACTGCTGCAGCGCCAGAGTCCCAGAACCAAAACCAACATCAGCGTTATCCAGCTGGAACTGCTTCAGCTGGAGAGGAGAGGAGAGACCAGTCAGACGGTACCATGCACACACACACACACACACACACAGTAACACACACACACACACACAGTAACACACACACACACACACACAGTAACACACACACACACACACACACACACACACACACACAGTAACACACACACACACACACACAACCACACACACACACACACACACACAGTAACACACACACACACACACAACCACACACACACGCACACACACAGTAACACACACACACACACACACACAGTAACTCACAGTAACACACACACGCACACACACACAGTAACACACACACACACACACACACACAAACACACACACAGTAACACACACACACACACACTACCACTACCACACACACACACACACACTACCACACACACAGTAACACACGCACACACACACAGTAACACACACACACACACAGTAACACACACACACAGTAACACACACTACCACACAGTAACACACACTACCACACACACAGTAACACACACACACACATACACACATAGTAGCACACACACACACACACACACACACACACACACACACACACACACACACATGCACACATGCACACACGCACACAGTAACACACACACACAGATTAAAGAGGTCTAACCTGCTGAAGCTCAAACTCGGTGGAGAAGCGTTCTGTGACTCCATTGATGAGGTTGGAGAAGGAGAAGGACCCGCCCCCATACCTGTATCAGGTAACAGAGTTAGTTCTGGTTCTGGTTAACTACCACATTAACTAGCTGTGCTACAAGGTAAACTTATGCAGCCCTGATCAGGACTTAGCAGGTACAACTAAACTAAAGTTCTGGTTCTGAAGCCCAGCCTTTGTTTGTTTGGGACGAACCCGTTAGAGATGGTTCTGGTGTGACGTGCTGTAGGAGTTATTGAGGACCAAAAGTCACCAGAGGACCGATCCGAACAGCTGGGTCCATAAAGCCTCACCGTAAAAACACCATAAAACCTCTTATCAGCTGTTCTGGAGTCAGATTTATGACTCTTCAGGTCCCACAGGTGGGAACAATCCTCGTGATCTTTACAGCACCTGGACCTGAGCCCGCTGGGTTTATATCTGCTCACTCTCTGAAGATGTAGGGCCAGTTGGCCCGGATGAAGTCCCACGCCAGAGACTGGCCAATCACATTCCTGGCTATGTAGACGATGGTGGAGGTGGCGTCCTGTTTGCGGATTAGCTTGGGTTTTAGCGTATACTCCAGGTACCTGAGCAGGTAGAAGCAGAGGGTGTGTGAGAGAGAGAGAGAGAGAGAGTGTGTGTGTGTGTGTGTGTGTGTGTGTGTGTGTGTGTGTGTGTGTGTGTGTGTGTGTGTGTGTGTGTGTGTGTGTGTGTGTGTGTGTGTGTGTGTGTGTGTGTGTGTGTGTGTGTGTGTGTGTGTGTGTGTGTGTGTGTGTGTGTGTGTGTGTGTGTGTGTGTGTGTGTGTGTGTGTGTGTGTGTGTGTGTGTGTGTGTGTGTGTGTGTGTGTGTGTGTGTTAGGTGTGGTTCGGATCATCAGACCTGTTCAGCAGCCAGGGCTGTTTGGCGCAGGCCAGAGCAGCTCGTAGTTTGTCAGCTTCACTAGCAATGGAGGCACTTTGAAACTTTCTCCAGGCGAAGTCCCACTCCTCAGCACCCCCTGCTGCGATGGCGTTACAGTACACGGTGGAGCGCAGGTTGGGGTGGATCCTGGAGGCAGAAGGAACTGGCAAGCTCAGAGAAGATGGGTGTGTTTAAAGTAGCTCTCCACTGAGGAGCAATGAAGCACTCACACGTTGGTTCCTGTGTCCATCCACTGTTTGAACCAGTGAGTGGCCAGAGACAAACAATCGTCCAGACCCGTCCTGCATGCCAGGCTGATGGCGTTCACCTGGTTATACCTGAATGCAGAATGGAGGTTCAGAGACCACGAACAGAATCACGACCGGCTCCCGCTGATCAGGAACTCCGTTTAGAGGTCATCAAACACATCACAGACGTGAGAGGAGGTCCAAGGATGCAACTCAGATTAAAAAATAGGTTTCAAAAGTCAAAGTTACAGGAAGATGGAAGAGGACCATCAAAGTTAAGAAGTTTTTCATGTAGCTACTAAGTTTTATGTCCTGGTTTGTCTGCAGTTACAATAACCAACAACAGAACCAGTTCTAATGAAGATCTGGACTTCATGGGACGGGTCCTAACTCACTGGTCCATGTGTCCATCGGGCACCTTGCTCCAGTTATCTGTGATGTTTTTATAGTAGGTGAACAGATCCGTGACTTGGTTCTCCAGATAAGCCTGTAAACAGCAGAGACACATTCAGAATTGCTGAATCGGTTTTAATTCCAGACCTGAATAATTATAAAAATCAGTTCTGGATTACACCTCAATCTGTGTGTGTGAAACCAAGCAAAAAAGGCCTGTTACCTTATCTTATCATGCTTGCTTGTGTGTGTGTGTGTGTGTGTGTGTGTGTGTGTGTGTGTGTGTGTGTGTGTGTGTGTGTGTGTGTGTGTGTGTGTGTGTGTGTGTGTGTGTGTGTGTGTGTGTGTGTGTGTGTCCTGGCAGTAGCCGCCTGAACTGTGATGTCGTAAATTAGTGATGTGCCTTCACTCTGCTGATATGGTTAAACGATTCATGTTGTGGATATAACCTGTTTTGACCTGAACAGATGTTGGGAGTAAGCATGTATGTTATCTTTTATCCTCTGTGGAGTTGGTCAAGATGCTATAAACATATAAATGAGACATCTTGTCCAGTTAATGTTGGAGATGACCAAGGGCGTCAGTTTGTTTTCAGAATTGCTGGGGACAATAACCATACACTTGAGTGGGGTTTAAAAATTGCTGGGGACAATAAAGGCAGGCTTTTTTGAAAGTGGGGGGGACACAGCTGCCAATCACAAATTTTGCCTGGGACATGTCCCCGGCGTCCCCGGTTAAAATGACGCCTATGGAGATGACCAGTTGACCCTGGGCAGAAGAAGAGAAGGGAGGGGTAACCACACGTCGTCGTCATCCCCCCCGACCAATGACTACGAGAGGAGGTGATGTAATCCCAAAGGACAAGAAAGGGAGCCTGCAGGAGGCGCTGAGAGGAGCGAGATCATGTTACCAGAAGTGACTGGACATTGGGCTTCATGAGCAGGAAGTGTTGCCATGGAGACGCACACCAGAAGAAGGCAGGAGAGAGGAGGAGGGGTGTGGAGAGATAAAAGGTGGAGATCGAGAGGAGAAGGAGGCTTGTTCTGGGGGTTTTGTGGTTTGCCTTTGGATCTGTAAAGAAACTTTTACCCGCTGCGCCGGGGTATTGTTTGGATTATTCTTTTTTCATCTTTTTGAAATAAAACCTTGGTTTCTTATTGTGAATACTAAAAGGAGCGACGTTGCCTGGGGCCTCTTCTGTGTCGTGTAACCGGGAAAGGTGAGAAGCTGGTTACTTCATATCCCACTCCAAGATGCAGTCTAGTCAGAATAGAGTCATTAACCTGAGCGTACATAAGCTACAGGTGACTGAAGGTGTGTTTGTGAGTAAACTGAGTCTCCCTTGAGCTGTATAAAGTTTGTTGTGCCAGAATCAGAGTCTAGGTTAGCGGTGATTGCTAATCAGCTTCTACAGTTCATGAGGTGTATTCCATGGCTGTGGTGAGCGGGCAGTGCAGGCATTGTCTGGCCTATGCTAGCTGATGCCACCGCACCACCCCACTTGCACCCACAGCCCTCTGTGTCTAAGTGCGGTTTAAAATTGGAAGTGGGCACCGGTACCCAGGAGGAGGCTGAGAAATCCCCCTGCCAAGTGCCGTTGAATGTGCTCACTCCCAAGGCCCTAAGTGTGTGTTTGCGTGGAATGTCGTCAGTGGAAGTGTATAAGGTGCAAATAAAATTGGGGGGCAGGTTGCCACAGGAATGCGGAAATGGGGTCCATACCCGCACTCCCTGACTTGTCCACCCCCCAAGGTCCTATGTGTATGTTTGAGTGATGATGTGAGGGAGCAGGAGGAGAGAAATATGTGGGGATGGGGAGGAATGGCTGGTTGGGCTTAGCCCTCCAGGGAGCCAGCTCCCCTACTGGCCCCAATAGGCACCTCTGTTGTCAAATTGCCACCCAGGGCATGGAGACCCCAGCCCATCTTGCCAGGGCCCAAAGCAGCAGCAATACAGAGCCTCACGGAGTCCGAGGGCACTAACCCAGCCCCACCCCAGCAGAATATCTATGCCCATCCCTGCATTTGCACAACTTCCAGAATATATAAGACATGGGACATCCAGGTAAGGTTGGGTCCTCCCCCTCCTGGACCTTCCCCTCCCCTGCGATGGGACAGCAGAGGAGCCAAGGTCTACCCGAGGCCCCCGAACCCAGGCCAGGCACTGCTGCATGTTCCTGCCTTCTTCCCGCCAGCATACATGTCAGGACCCGACCTCCAAGGCCCCACCCAGATCCCCACTCGGGGCCGGCCACCCCCAAACCCCGAGCCCCCAGGCCCCCAACCAGACCCGCCCAGGGGCAATGCAGCTGCCAGGCAGTGACCCATGGTCGCCGCCAAGACCTCCAAGGGGCCCCACCAAACTACAGATTCAATTTGGTGGTATTCTAAAAAGCTATTCTTATCTATTCCACATTGGGAGACTGTTCTATTAAATGGGATGAAGTCCAATCCTTCATATGTGTGTTCCAGGTATAAGATTCCTTTATTTTTCTAGTCTGGAAGGTTCATCATTTTATTATTTTTCAAAATATCAGGATTACTCCAGATAGGTGTGCGTTTGCATGGTACTAGTGAAGACTCTGTCATTTTAAGATACTCCCACCATGCTGTCAGAGAGGTGCTGATACTAATACTTTTGAAGCCTTCATGTTTTCTTATGCTTGAGCTAATAAATGGTAAGTCTGAAAGCTCTATTGTATTGCAAAGTGTCTGTTCTATGTCTAACCAAGACTCATCTAGTGGGTTATCTTGCAACTATCTTGGTATATATTGCAGCCTGTTGGCTAAGAAATAATGATAAAAGTTGGGTAGATCCAGTCCTCCTCTGTTTTTGGTCTTCTGAAGCATTTTTAAGCTAATTCGTGGAGGTTTATCCTGCCAAAGGAATTTGGTAACTGAGGAGCAGAGATTTAAACCAGTCAGCTGGTGGTTTGTTTGGGATCATTGAAAATAAGTAATTTATTCTGGGTAAGACCATAATTTTAATTGTAGCAACCCTCCCCATGAGTGATATCGGTAAGGATTTCCATCTTGCAAGATCATCTTCCACTTTCTTTAAAAGTGGGATGTAGTTTAGTTTGGTTAGATCTGCTAACTTGGGAGAGACATTAATTCCCAGGTATGTGATATTCCCTGACTCCAATTGTGTATTAAGTAAATTGACAAAAGAGAAATTAATTGGTAGAACTGTGGATTTTAACCAGTTTATAGAGTAATCTGAAACTTTTGAAAAAGAGTTTATCAGTTCTATTGAATGAGAGAGAGGGGAATGAGAATTCCGGAGAAAGAGTAAAACATCATCTGCATAAAGATTAATCTTATGTTCTATTTTCTTACACTTTATCCCTTTAATACCTGTTTGCCTAATTGCTGTTGCTAGTGGTTCGATAAAGATAGCAAACAGTGAGGGGGAGAGTGGTGCCTGGTCCCCCTCTGAAGACAGAAGCTAGCTGATATTTGGTCGTTCCTCCTGACACGTGCAGTTGGTGAACTGTATAATGTTTGTAGCCAGTTTACGAAGAAGTTCCCAAAGCCAAGTTTATGTAAAGTTGCAAATAAGAACTTTCAGTTAACTCTATCAAAAGCCTTTTCTGCATCTAGAGATAATATACTAGTTTCTATGTTTCTACTGTAAGAGAAATCTATCAAATTAAGGAATCTACGTGAGATAGTGGATGACTGTCTACCCTTGATGAAACCAGTTTGGTCAGGGTGTATTATGAAGGGGGTTACCTTCTCTAATCTTTTTGCCAGGGCTTTACAAAGTATTTTGAGATCAACATTAATAAGAGAAATTGGGCGATAGCTGGTAGGAAATGCAGGGTCTTTGCCTGGTTTTAACAAGAGACTAATATTGGCTGAGTTCATGTTTGGCTGTAATCTGCCGCTCTCTTCGATTTCCCTCACCATTCTGAAGAATGTTGGACCCAGAATGATCCAGAATTCTTTGTAGAACTCTGCTGGAAACCCGTCTGGACCTGGAGCTTTCCTATTAGTCATGGATTTAAGGGCTTCCTGGAGCCCCGCTGATGTTAGTAGCGAGTCCAGGACTGTAACTTGGCTGTCTGATAATTTAGGAAGTGTTATCCTTTCAAGGAACTCATTGATCTCGTTATCTGATGGGTTTATCTGTGGTGAGTACAAATTGGAGCAGGCGGAGGGAGATTAGGGGTCTTAGCACACCTCTGTTGTTGCTTGACTTCCTGGGGCTGGAGGCTAGGAGGGAGATCTGGCCATCTGGTTGGGGTCTGGGGTGGTGGATTGCTGTGCTCAGCGTTGGGCGGGGGAGCCTGCCCATCAGCACCCCAGCAGAAAGGGTCAAACTCTGGTAACCGGTGATGGTTGTACCCAATGTGCAGCAGTACCAGGACCAGAGTGAATAGGGTGTGTATGGGGAGCATGAGTGGGTGTCCGGCGTGCATTTTTGTGAGTCTTGAGTTGTATGTGCATGTGTGAGCATGAGGGAGGGAGTGTGTGACTGTGTTTGTGTATGACTGTATATGTCAGGTGGGGCCTTTGACACCTCTCCTCTCCTGGAACTTCTTTTGATGATATAGATCTTTGTCCCCCCTCCCCCTGCCACACATGGTGTGGGGTGTGGTGCCTTGGTCTGCCTGAGTGTTCGTGGCTCCCGGCTCAGGGGGTTTAAGATTTTTGGCGTCTGCCTGGTCAATCCCGGTGGCTGCCTGGTGGGGTCTGGGTCCCTGGGCTCTGCTGGGTCCCCGGCAGGGGTGGTCGCCCCTGGGTCCCGGGTCGCTGGGTCCTGGGCTTGGCCGGCTAGGGGGTGGGAGGCTGCGGGCGGGCCTGTGGGCTTGCCACTGATATCTCCCGGGACTCTGCCGGCTGCTGGTTGTGGCCCCCTGGAGCGATCCTCTGTGCCTCTCGAGGGGGGCGGGGGCCTTTCTGGTTGCAGTCTCCTTGGGGTTCCTGTGTTCTGGGGCAGCGCCTGGATCTCTGGGACTTGGAGCTCCCTCTGTCTCCTACACATCTTTGGGGGGCAGATCTGTGATCCCTCACACTCTCTATTGGACGCTCCTATAGATAAACCTTACATAAACAAGCACGTGTACACACACAGGTGCTCACATGGTGCTCTCATAAGTATGGACTTGAGCACATTCAACACAGGTCTGAAGACTATGGTGGGCACTTAAAGCACTGTGATTTATTATTGTGTGATTGTTCAGTTAAACAATGTTGATTATATATTTCTTCATCAAGTTGATGCAGTTATAGCTTGATCTTGTTGAATTGTTGTTGTGTCCCTTTTTTTTTGTTCTCTTGCTTTTTTTCTTGTCTCTTTCTGCAGGTCTAGAAGCAGACTCTTGTTCATTATTGTTTATTTTTGTGGACCCCCCCACACACACACACACACACACACACATTTTGTCTTTTCTTTTCTCTTTCACCTCTGTCTCCGTGTCTGGTCGGAATTACAAAGCATTCAAAAACAATAACAATAAAGTTTTAAGTATCAGGCGTGACATTAAAAGCAGATGCTTTGATGCTCCACCTGAGAGTAAATCTGTAAGGCTTGTTACGAGCATTCAGACATTAATTCTGTTTGCTTCACAGCCAGACAGGACACAGTAAAAAAAAAAAATTTTTAATCAGCTTCTACAGTTTGCAGGCATTTTAAAGAGTGGCTGGTGTCACGCCCACGCAAATAGAAATACAAGTCAACCCTGAGACTTTAACATCTTTAGAAGAGTGAGGCTAGCTTGGGAAGATGGCTTGTAACAAGGATGATCCCAGAACAAGGTCTAGGTTCCTGAAGGAGGACGAGTACCTGCATGACGCCGAACACCTCGCTACGATCAAACATCAGGTAGAAGAATTCCAGGTTGTTCAGCGCCGACTTCCACGGCATGTACTCCCTCTCATTTTTCAGGTACTTGGTGGTTCGGAGCGCCAGAACGGTGGAGATGATCTTTGCTCTGTGAGACACCAGAACAGATACTTCAGTTAAAGGTCATCTCCTGTGGGATGGTCAGAGGGTCCTCCTGCAGGAGGTCTGAGGAGGAGCTGGGTCTCGGGTTTAGCTCGCAGGGGGATTGGGCCGACTGTCAGGAGAGGAGGTGGAGGAGCAGAACCAGCTGATCAGACCTGATGAAAGCTTAACCTAGTCCAGGTTTTAGTTCCGATCAACAGCTGTCCTCACCTGAACATCAGGTATCTACAGTGGGATGTGAAGGTTTGGGCAGCCTTGTTAACCTTCATGAGTTCCTGCATCAATGGCTGGTTGTTACGATAAAACCTGTCAGTAAACATCTCACACAGGAGACACGCAGTGATGTTCGAGAAGGGAAACGGCGTTTAGAGGATCTACAGAAAGTGGGAATGATGGTTTAAACAGAATGAGGCAGAGGAGTACATGCGGGCACGCATGACCTTTGATCTCCATACACAGGTGAATCCAGATTTTTAAGGGGCCAGTTGTGAGTTTTCCTCCTCTGTGAATATTCTCTGAAGAGCAGCAGCATGAGGGTCTGAAACAAGTCTCACATGAGCTGAAAACGAAGATGGCTCTCCATCCTGATTTAGGAGAAGGGCACAGAGAGCTGTCTCAGAGATCTCAGCTGTCTGCGTCCACAACCCTAACCACGAAACATCTGGGATAAACAGAAGAGAGGAATGGTGAGAACAGTCAGAGTCACCCACAGATCATCTGGCTGGAGATGGAGTCACGGTGCATCGCTCAACTACACAATGTGAGAGTGATGCAGAGGAAGCCTTTTCTCAGCAGCTGGAGGTCTGCTAAATCGCATCTGGACAAGCCAGCAACTAAAACTGAGTTATTCATGAAGAACAAGGGCGTTACATATGGAGGAACAAGAACTCAGCATTCCAAGGAAAACACCTGCTACCTACAGTTAAACATGGTGGTGGGTCCATCATGCTGTGGGCTGTGGGGCCGGTGCAGGGACCGTGAATCTTGTTGAAGTTGAAGGACGCATGGATTCCACTCAGTATCAGCAGATTCTGAAGACCAGTGTCCAGGAATCAGAGACAAAGCTGAAGCTGCACCGGGGCTGGACCTCTCAACAAGACGACTCTAAACCCTGCTCAACATCTACTAAGGCCTTCATGCAGAGGAACAAGAAGAACATTCTGGAACGGCCATCTCCGTCCCCAGGCCTGAACATTATTGAACATCTGTGGTGTGAGTTAAAGAGGGCGGTTCATACCAGGGGTGGACTGGGACCAAAATTCGGCCCTGGCCTTTTTACGAATCGTCGGCCCTCCCCATTGTGAGAGCGGTGGGGGTGGGGCTGTTGCCACCCGCGGAATCGTCTCTAGGCCGAATGTGAGATCTAATATGGACTGGGACTTTTAAATTACAAGCAGGACCAGACCGCTGCGACCAGGAGCCCTGGCCTTCCAGATCAGCTCATTCTCCACGGGCGGAGATCAGCGGGACATTAGCTACATGCTAACGCGGCAAAACAACACCTACGCCATCGCTCTACCGCGTTTTTCTTGCTAAAAACGCCTGGAAAAACTCTATTAGCTTCAGGTTACCATGTAGCTAATGTTCTGCAGATCACCAACTGTGGAGTAGTGTCGCCCCAAGCTGGGCAAGCAGCCCACTTGGCTAAGCGGCCCACCGGGACAGTCCCAGAATGCCAGATAGGCCAGTCCACCCCTGGTTCATACGCTGTAGCCATCAAACCTGAATGATCTACAGATGTATTGTAAAGAAGAATGGTCCAGAATACCTTCAGCCAGAGCCCAGACCCACTGGAAGCTACAGGAAGTGTTTAGAGGCGGTTATTTCTGCTAAAGGAGGATCTACTAAATACTCAGTTCATCGCTTTCATGTAGTGCCAAATGTCGGCCGCTGCCTCATTCCGTTCAAACCATCATTCCCACTTTCTGTAGATCCTCTAAACGTCGTTTCCCTTCTCAAACATCACTGTGTCTCCTGTGTGAGATGTTTACCCGACATGTTTTATCGTAACAACCAGCCGTTTATACAAGAACATCATGGCTGCCCAAACCTTCACATCCCACTGTTCGGCACACAGACCTTGTCTGACTTCTAGTTTGTTCTCCATCTCCTCCTAGGGTGATCTCCAGACTCACCTGGCCAGGTTGAAGGCGTCGTCCACCAGCTGGGCTCTGTTGATCATCGGGATGGCCTTCAACACAAACACATGAAGTTCTCAGATGAACTAGTTCTGCTCAGAGTGACCGCTCTGACCTCCAGGAGGTGTGTGGTACCTTGTGGTCGGTGCTCAGAACGCCCAGCAGTCGTTCCCAGTTGTTCTGGTCGTAGTTGACCCGGTAATACCCAACCACATGGAGGTTGGCTAGAACCCAGTCGGCTCCACCCACCTTCATATCTTCAACCGACACTAGAGAAGAATCCTCATTACTAAACGTCTCACGTTTCAGCAGGAAATAAACATTTGTAGTAGGAGAGGGACTCTGTTACAAAAATAATCTAATTATTCAGTAATCAGGGAGGGTGGAGGGGTAGTGTCCCGCCCTCTGAGTGTCAGCGAGAATCAGAGAGCAGACAGAGGCGTTAAGATGAACGACACGTGTTGACGTCCTGCGTTTAGGTCCACGCGTGGACTTCAACGCATTCTGTTTGAAGCAGAGATGCTCTGTGCCGCTCACGCCTACAGTGTGGATTAGGAGATGGTGTCTCTGACACACTGCCCCCCCCCCCCTCCCGTATGTTCTGCCATTCCGACCTTCACTTCCTTTGTCCAGGTACGCCTTTCCTGCATGACAAGACTGCAGGCTTGTGTGGTGTCGGGTTGGCGAGTGTTTTAAATTTCCAACGAGAGTTACTGTGTGTGTGTGTGTGTGTGTGTGTGTGTGTGTGTGTGTGCGCGCGCGTGTGCGTGTGCGCGTGTGCGTGTGCGTGTGTGTGTGCCAATCTCCATTTTTTAGTTTACACGAGTGATGACATGCATGGCGTGGCCAAGATGGCGGTGGTGGAAAGCTCCCACTGGGCTTCAGTTCAGCTCTTCAGAAACCTGCAGGTGATGGCACGGTGAGGTTCTCCAGCTTGGTTTACAGTCATTGGGGGCAGCAGTAGCTCAGGAGGTAGAGTGGGTTGTCCAGCAATCATAAGGTTGTGGGTTCAATCCCGGCTCCCGCCAGAGAACGCAGCTGTTGTGTCCCTGGGAAAGACGCTTAACCACCCTGCCTGCTGGAGGTGGTCGGAGAGAGCCGCGGCACCAGTGCACAGAAGCCTCGCCTCTGTCAGGGTGCCCCAGGCCAGCTGTGGCTACATCGTAGCTCATCACCACCAGGGGTGAATGGATGAATGGTCTGAAAGGCGCTACGCTAGTATGGGTCATTTATCATTTCTGTCTCAACAGAACAGAAAAGAAACCAGATACATGCAACAGTCCTTCTGGCTCGTTGTTGCATGAAATACCGAAATCACGTGAGGTTTTGCAGTTCACCTGTGATTTCTTGACCTCTAGCTGCGCCGAACGCTTTTGCTGCTGTTTAGCATCTGAAACGCTCCCGATGAAAAGGGACGCGCAGCTGAGCTCACAGGTAAATGCTTCTAGTACGTTACACAACGCTTACACATCTGGTGGGAGAGCCCGGACACACCAGAGCTTATCCTGGATTGGACCGGAAGACCTCTGGATGAGAGGTGGAAAATCTTTTTGTCCAGATAAGTCCCGTAAATGACTCAAACGTTTTCTGTTTCTAAAAACAAAATGAAGCAGTTTTCCTCTTGTTAGCTACTACTGTAAGTTTTTAATTTACAGGTTTTCTCAGTTGCTTGGCTGCATTTCTCACAACAGAATTAAACTTTGCACAACACTTAGCTCACCCTCCACCTCATGTAGTCGTGTTGGCACAAGCTAGCGGTGGTTTCATGTTCCTTTCATCCAAAGATGAGCGCCTTTGGATGTGAAGCAGTTGAGTAAGTCCAAATATCCTGAGAATGGTCACTTTTGACTTGCTTTCGTCATGTTTGTCATAATTAACTATACTTGTTCAGGCTGAGTTGTCATTGTTCATACAATTTATCATCTTCATTTCATTGCTTGTGTCCAGGGACAAAGTTCTATCCTGCCGTGAGAAATGCACCAAGGCAGCTGAGAAAAACTGTGTTGGTGAAACTTCAGAAGGTAGTTGGTGAGATCCATTTGATCTTTCTGCCACTCTGAAGCCGGTTTACCTGTCTGTCTTGTTTACCTGATTTTTCCTGAAGCCAAAAGATGTTCTGAGGGGCCTTCGTCTTCATCCATCTGATGGGGACGATCCACTGATAGCTGCAGAAGAACCAGAGCCAGAACATCTTAGAGCCAACTGGAACATATTTTATCATCAGATGAGCTCATTAGAATAAATGAACAACGTGTTATGGATGGATGGATGGATGGATGGATGAATAAATGAATAGACGGATGGATGGATGGATGAATAAATGAATAGATGGATGGATGGATGGATGGATGAATAAATGAATAGACGGATGGATGGATGGATGGATAAATGAATAGATGGATGGATGGATGGATGGATAAATGAATGGATGGATGGATGAATAAATGAATAGATGGATGGATGGATGGATGGATGGATGGATGGATGGATAAATGAATAGACGGATGGATGAATAAATGAATAGATGGATGGATGGATGGATGAATAAATGAATAGACGGATGGATGGATGGATGGATGGATGGATGAATAAATGAATAGACGGATGGATGGATGGATGAATAAATGAATAGACGGATGGATGAATAAATGAATAGACGGATGGATGGATGGATGGATGGATGAATAAATGAATAGACGTATGGATGGATGAATGGATGGATGGATGGATGGATGAATAAATGAATTGACGGATGGATGGATGGATGAATAAATGAATAGACGGATGGATGGATGGATGGATGGATGAATAAATGAATAAACGGATGGATGGATGGATGGATGAATAAATGAATAGATGGATGGATGGATGGATGGATGAATAAATGAATAGACGGATGGATGGATGGATGGATGAATAAATGAATAGATGGATGGATGGATGGCTGGATGAATAAATGAATAGATGGATGGATGGATGGATGGATGAATAAATGAATAGACGGATGGATGGATGGATAAATGAATAGACAGATGGATGGATGGATGGATGAATAAATGAATAGATGGATGGATGGATGAATAAATGAATAGACGGATGGATGGATGAATAAATGAATAGACGGATGGATGGATGGATGGATGAATAAATGAATAGACGGATGGATGGATGGATGGATGGATAAATGAATAGACAGATGGATGGATGGATGGATGGATGGATAAATGAATAGACAGATGGATGGATGGATGAATAGATGGATGAATAGATGGATGAATAGATGGATGAATGGATGGATGGATGAATAGATGGATGGATGGATGAATAGATGGATGGATGGATGAATAGATGGATGAATGGATGGATGGATGAATAGATGGATGGATGGATGAATAGATGGATAGATGGATGAATAGATGGATGGATGGATGAATAAATGAATAGATGGATGGATGAATAAATGAATAGACGGATGGATGGATGAATAAATGAATAGACAGATGGATGGATGGATGGATGGATGGATGAATAGATGGATGAATAGATGGATGAATGGATGGATGGATGAATAGATGGATGGATGGATGAATAGATGGATGAATAGATGGATGGATGGATGGATGAATAGATGGATGAATAGATGGATGAATAGATGGATGAATAGATGGATGGATGGATGAATAGATGGATGGATGGATGAATAGATGGATGAATAGATGGATGGATGGATGGATGGATGGATGGATGGTTGCGTTATTAACTTGAACTTGGACTGAGTGGTGACGACAGCGTTGGAATCTAGCAGGAAGTGCTGCTGGGAAACGGTGCCAGCTGTGGTGTTGATGGTGACCACAGGGAAGCCCATCTGCAGCACCCAGGTGTTCATGATCTCATCAACTTTTCTGGGCAGACTGGTATGAGTGTCAGTTACTGCCTATGGAAGTCAGAACACGTTCGGTTAGTCAAACTGCCTTGCACAGAGGCCCAAAGGCAGGCAGCACACAGGCTAGCACACGAGCTAGCGTACAGGCTAGTGAACAGGTAGTAGAGTTGGAGCCAACAAGAAAAGGACTACCTGCTGCAGGTGCTTCCACAGGTCTGTGTAGACGGCTGTCTCAAAGGCAAATTCTCTCAGGTACGTCTGCAGGAAGGACAGGAGACAGACAGGAAGCAGGTGAACCGGAGAGCAGCTGGAACGTTCTCACCATCAGGACATCTTCAGGTTATAAGTTCAGCAGCTGGTAGTTCAGAAGTTCTCTGGGATGTTTATGCAGCAGCGTCAGCTCTTTTGTTATCTCTTGTACTTCATCGTTCTGGTCCTCGTTTCTGTGCTGCTGCTGAAGGTTAGGGTTAGGGAACAATGAGCAGAAACATTTGCTCTACCTGGAGTCCTTGTTTGAAGACGTCTTCAGACAGGAAGTCTGACAGCATCCGGAGGACTGATGCTCCCTAAGGACAAAGCAAAAAAATTCTAATCTGTCCACTTCGCTGACGATTTGTCCTCTACATCTTGATGATGGTTGGCCTCACCTTGCTGTAGGAGATGGCGTCAAACAGCTCACTGATCTGAGCTGGTTTCTGGATGTCTTCTTCGTTGGAGGACAGCGGATGAGACGAAGTCAAAGCGTCCACAGCAAAGACTCTGTGGATGTCGTTGAGCACGATGAGGTCTTTCTGTCAGGAGAAGCAGAGATATGTGATCCGAAGTGGTTGATGATGGGATGATGGGATGATGGGAGTAAGGCCCTCACCACATTCCAGTCGGGCTCGGCCTTGTCTGCTCCGAGGTATTCCACGTAGGACGCAAAGCCTTCGTTCAGCCACAGGTCGTTCCACCAGCGCAGCGTCACCAGGTTACCGAACCACTGAAGGACAAACGAGATCCAAAGGTGTGAAAAGAGCATGAGGAACCGATACGTAGCTTCAGCTGGAATGTTTCCTGAAGTAAACGATAGAAAAGCTTCCTCCTTTGTCAGATCCTAGCTGAGTCTATAATTCTGGAAACGTTCCTCGGATAGAACCAGACCTTAAAGCCAGAACCTCCCAGGAATACACAACAAACATGGGACACCAGAACCATCCAGAACCCGGCTGCTGAAGGTGACTAAAGGCTGGTTTTTGGGTCAGATCTCCTGCATCCTTTGACCAGAACCCACCATGTGAGCCAGCTCATGGCCAATGATGGTAGTGATCCTCTCCTGGTTGGAGTTGGAGGAGAAATCCTTGCCGTACAGCAAAGCAGTCTCTCTGTAGGTGATCAGACCCCAGTTCTCCATGGCGCCAGCGTTAAAATCAGGAAGTGCGATCTGATCTGCAGGACAGGGAAGGTTCAATTCAATTCAAATTCAAAAATACTTTATTAATCCCAGAGGGAAATTGATTAATTAATCCCAGAGGGAAATGTATTAATTAATCCCAGAGGGAAATTGATTAATCAGGTTTAATCTATTTATAAGTGGTGAGGTTCCTGTAGAACATCTAGAAAGTAGATGTGACAGCAGGAAGGTTTTCTGGTTGATGTCCACAGGTAGAACACGAGAGGAGGAGGAGACCACCACCAGGCTCTTCTGCCTCCGGTTGCAGCAGCTTCATCTCATCCTGGAGTCCAGGAAGAGATGAAGACACCACAGGAGGAAGCAGCTGCACCCAAGGAACATTTACTGGATGAAGGCTGTAAAATAACTGAGGTGATCAGAGTTTATATTTCACAGACCGGTCCAATCATAAAACTTTAAACCAACAGATAAAAGCTCAGATCATCACGAGGAAGCAGTAAACCAGAGGTTTCCATGGCAATGGCCGGCCTGCACACTAAAGCCATATTTTCATCTATAAAGGTCATAAAGCTGAGCTCAAACCAGTCCAGATAAGAGCTTGTGATGATGAAGGAAACCTGGACTAGATTCAGTCCTTCCTTTAATCTGAGTTAGAAATTATTTAAGTTGCTTTAAACTTAAAAAGTCCTCTGATAGTAGAAGACTTTAACTTTCTGAGACGCATGAAAGAGAAGCTCTGTGACTTGAACCTTTATTTATCCTCTGTAAGCATCTCACTGTAGAAACAAACTCACGAGTGTTGCGTGAGGAGGTGTGATGGACTGACCTGACTTGGGCAGCGGGTAAGTGGAGTTGTAGTACTCCTCGAAGAACTTCAGGATGGGTCCGGTTTTGTTCAGGGCGTAATCTCCCTGGTTAGCATCAATAGCAGCCCTACGGGCGAAGATCCGCACCTGCAGTACACACAGCATAATAGTAGAACACAGCACAGTACACAACACAGTACACAGCACACAGCACACAGCACGGTACGCAACACAGTACACAGCACAGTATACAACACATAATAAAACACTTAATCCTTTTGTGTTTCCACTGATTCCAAAACCATGATATGGGCAGGATCATGAGTTCAGGTTTTGGTTCTAAACCGGGGGTCGGCAACCCGCGGCTCTGGAGCCGCATGCGGCTCTTCCATCCATCTGATGCGGCTCTCTGTGCTTGTAAAATAAAGAATGGATATTTAAATAAAATGCTTTATATTTTACTGAATTAATTTTACATCTGTATGCCAATTCTAAATGTAAAGATTGTCTGCGTAAACCTGAACAGGTCCAACCCGGTCTTACTGTGAGACCGGTTTGACGTGTCACGCTTGTGCGTAATCATATCGGCGCTTTCTGAGCTGAAGAGGATGTGAGATTCTGGGCTTCTCCTCAGACGGCTCCTGGATGTGTCGCCACATTGGAGACAGGAACAAGCGCTATTCAGCCAAAGTTTCATAATCAGGGAACATTTTCTAAGTGACAAGTCTCGCTTCAGTCGGAGGAATCTGCGACGCGCTCCAAGCCCCTCTCCACATCTTCAGCTCGCTGTGCACCGTACGTACGCGCTGACAGCGAGCTGCGCTGAGCGGTGTCCAGCTCAGATGTTCAGATGGGAATCTTTTCTTGAGTGATTTAGCTACATCTGCGATTTGCGTAGAATAAAATGTCAGTTCGTCTGCATGCGTCGGGGTAATTCTTTCTATTCTTTCTCCGTCAAAATAAACGGTAAAATACGGGAACTGTCCGGTCAACACAACACAAGCCCTGCTTTTAACTGTTTTGTTTTCTTGTGAAAATTGTTGCAAAGAGATATAATTTAACTTGATGAACGCCAGAGCCAGGCGCACTGCGCCGTTATCTCCGTCACTGTAAATGAGGGAAAAACAAAATGACCGGATCCTTTTCTGACCTTCCCCACCTACAAAGTTTGATTGCAACAATCAAACGTGACAGAGCCTGGATTTGTATTCTGAACAGTCTAAACATGTTTTAAAAAGAAACGTATGACAAAAGTGGCACCTGCTCAGTAAAACCACCAACAGGGTGAAAAATATCAAAATATTGTCGGCAGAGACGGGCTACAACTTCTGGATCCACTTTATATACATCATTTTATTGATTATCGTCTTATGAAAGATAACTTTGACGTACACGAGCGACCGGTGCTGGCTGCTGTCACCTGTTGTGATTGGTTAAAGCAGCTCTCTGCTGTCTAAGGGTAGGCCCCGCCCACAACGCCGCGGCTGCTGTGGCTCCCAGTGTTTTCTTTACTGTGGGAAATGGGTAATAATGGCTCTTTGATGGGAACAGGTTGCCGACCCCTGTTCTAAACGGATCTGATGGATTACCAGAACTCCATCGATGGTGCTGTTGATGAAGGAGAAGTCACTGACGATGAACGCCAGCAGGTACGTGGACATCTTCTCAGTCTGCTCAAACACGGTCTGCAGCACATGCTGGTCCCCGATGGTGATGTTGGTTGTCTCTGCAGAGGAGACAAAGACTTCCATCATGCTCGGCTGCTTGGTTATGTGTTCTTTAAACAAAGACAAACTGTAATAACCAAAATAAAGTTGGACTTTTCTGCTACAGCAGATGATTCTAAACTGGTTGTGCAGTTTAAAACTCACCTGGTCAGGCTTTGGTGGGACCTCCTCTTCATTCTCTTCTCCTCATGCTGCTGTTTCTGTCTTTTTCAGTCCCCCATCATTCTTTATCCCCTTTTCTGCCACTCTTTTATTTTGATCTTTTTTTTATAGTTCTGGTTGTGATTTTTATTTTGAGAGGTGCTGTCCACCTTATTCCTGGCTAGGCTCATGCAGAAACGGTGATGCTAGCATCATCCGGTGAGGTACCAGAAGCAGGGCGTACCCACTGGTTTGCAGGGTGAGGTTTTATTGCTAGTAGCGGTTTATTTGAACAAGAGGACTTAAAAAATATCTACCCCTGGAAAATGTGCTCACGCAGCTCGGGAACACGTTGCGCTGTTTGCAGTTGTACAAACAACCAAACGGTGTGGCTACCAGAGCGATGTTAGACCATGCACCTGGGAGTAGGAGAGAGAGCGGCTGCAGGCGTCGGTAGAGTTTTCACCGCCTCCCCAGAGGTGATGAACCCAGAAGGATGAGGCTGAAAAATCTTTATTTGTGCCATCCTGCTGTTTGTGTTTCACCGGATGTAGAAACTGAAACCCAGAATGGGTGATGAGGGATTTAAGGCTCGGACTCGGCTCCACGTCTGCTTTACAGTAAATAAGATTGTGTCTCACCTCTTTCAACTAAACACCACCAACCGCATTACTGCGTAGGTACTGACGAGCTTGTTTATTGGCCCGCTGTCAGACGCCACTGAGTTCAGAAAGTAGCTAAAAATCGCTACTGTATGTTAGCTTTGGTCAGATTTTAGGATTCTCCTCCCACCCCTCTGGTCCTGCAGGCAGAAGGAGTGTAAAGGTGTCTCGTTTCGGCGGTGACGGCTGGTGTTTACAAGTGTTTTCCATCTCTAAAAACCCATAAAAACAAGATTAGCGTGAAGGGATCGGATCGTCTCTGCTAACGAACGCCGACCGGAAGTTGCACACATCTTTCGTGCAAAGCCTCATGGGACACTAGAATAAGGTGGATATAAATACTTCTATAGGAGTACCTGATCTAGAGGGATCAGTAAGCCACTCCCCCCACCCCATTCCCTCCAATAGACCACAATGGGATTTGGGCAGGACCATGTGAGGATGCCCCATTCCCTCTGGAGCTCAGCTAGATGTTGTAGCCAGCAGGTACGTGGACAATGGGTCACAGGAAACATCCATGTTTCGCTGAGGAACCATCACAACTTTTCACATTTAACCCAGCAGATTGTTGTATGAGGCTCGTTACCATGGTGACCCTGATGAGCTGCTGACTGCAGCTTTAACGTTTCTGTCAATCCTCATTCTCTTTACCTTTCCACTGTTTTCAGGTCAGATCTTCGCATTTTAAATATCTATACCAGCTGTAAATAAAGTATGGTGACTTGATCAGTCACCTACAGTTCAGATTATTACAGAGATTAATGCTGGATTTTTCTTCAGCAGAGATATTTCTGGTTTTTAACACCTTGATGACCCAACGCCCAAGTCAGAGTCCAGCTGCCAAACACCTACCTATTTCCATGCCATTGGAGAGAGCCACGGTCCCATGGTCGTGGATCAGAGTGATGTTGAAACGAGCTTTCATTGCCGGCTCATCAAAGCAGGGGAAGGCCTTCCTAGCATCTGTCGGCTGCATCTGGGTGGTGGCAACAACCCTGAAATGGAATGAGTTCAGAGCAATAAATCCAATGTGTGTATATATATATATATATATATATATATATATATATATATATATATATATATATATATATATATATATATATATGTATATATATATACTTGCATATAAACCAAGTGGTGAACTGCCAGAGGTTAAAAAAGGTAAGGTTATTTAAAACTGAAAAATAATGTACATTTCAGAATTATACAAAAAGGCCTTTTTCAGGGAACACAGCTGTTCTGCTAAAATGCAAGAAGCGTGGGTGCAGAGCGGGAGCAAAACGGAGACAGAGAAAGAGGAAATTCAAACCATCTCTTCCATCGACCATAATGGGCAATGTGAGATCACTGGCCAACAAGATGGAGGAACTCCAAGCCCTTTCAAGGACTCAGCCAGAGTTTCGGCAGTTTCGGAACCACTGGAGGAGATAATGCAAAGAAGGATTCTCCAGAGAATCAAGAAAATGATGGACAACCCTGAGCGTTCTCTTCACAAGACTGTCCGACAACGGAAGAGTGTCTTCAGTCAGAGGCTTCTTCAGTTTGGCTGCAACACTGACCACTACTGGAGATCCTTCCTGCCAACAGCCATTGTAATATACAACAACTCTTTGATGACTTGATTATTATTATTATTCTGAGCTAATACAGCAATCAATTTCCCTCTGGGACTAGTAAAGTATTTTTGAACTGAATTGAATTGAGAAGACTTGGAGCTGCAGGTTTGACAGGACGAGTTACAGCAAGGAAGCCACTGCTAAGACGTCAGAATAAGAGAAAAGAGACTTGCCTGGGCCATGAAACACCGCTGTTGGACTACTGAAGACTGGAAGAAGGTATTATGGACTGATGAATCCAAGTTTGAAATCTTCGGTTCATCACGCAGGATCTTAGTATACTGTCGAGTAGGTGAAAAGATGGTTCCACAGTGTGTGGCATCAACTGTGAAACATGGAGGAGGAAGTGTGATGGTCTGTGGCTGTTTTGCTGGATCCAGGGTCGGTGACTTATATTGAGTGAGAGGCACCCTGAACCAAAACGGCTACCCTTAGCATTCTCCAGCACCATGCAGTACCCTCTGGTATGCGCCTAGTTGGTCAGGGGTTTATCCTACAGCAAGATAATGACCCAAAACATAAGTCCAAGCTATGCCAGAACTACCACAGGAAAAAAGAACAAGATGGTAAGCTTGTAAACATGGAGTGGCCAGCACAGTCTCCAGACCTAAACCCCATGGAGCTGGTTTGGGATGAACTGGACAGAAGAGTGAAAGCAAAGCAACCTACAAGTGCCACACATTTATGGAAACGTCTGCAGCAGATATGGAAGAACTTTCTGAAGAATATTTGATTTCTGTTGTAGAAAGAATGCCACGAGTGTGTTCAGCTGTTATATCTGCCAAAGTGGCTACTTTGATGAGTCAAAAATTTAGAACATATTTGGGTCTATCAATGGATTCCATGATTTCTTTTTTAACTCCAATTGCTTATTTGTACTATGCTTTCATTTCAGAGTGCATTGTGACATTAAACTGCATCATTTCCAATAAAAACTGGAAAAATTGGGGTGTTCTAATATATATATACATATATATGTATATATTATATATATATATATATACATATATATGTATATATTATATATATATATATACATATATATATACATATATATATATATATATATATATATATATATATATATATATATATATATATATATACCCAGCTAGCTTACATTTTTCTCACTGAGCTAGCAGCCAATCATGGCTAGCTTTCTGAGCAACTCCATCGTCTCTTTGAAAGAAAATCCCTTTACCATCGTACCAATGAAGACAAGATGGCTAAACTATTAGGACCACCAGGACCAAGTTTAATCATCAAGCAAGTTTCCATTAAAGGTGGAAAATCTTATAAACAATGATTTTCACAGAGATGGTCTGAACAGAAAAGATGGTTAACGGGCTGTGAGGTAGCAGTAGTTCTGCTACGGCGGGCCACGCCTCATGGACAGGAGTCACTGACATGCACCATCTGTGGTGTGTTCGAGTTAGTCTTGTGGGGTAAAGATGAAAGTGATGGCTCAAAAGGATTAGTGGACTTGGTGGCATCGCTGGATGAGGTGTTTGAGGAGCAGCTGTTTTTAAAGGCAGGACAAAACAAGCTTTTGGACAGACTGAACCTTTTTCCTGAGAGGCTCACAGCACAAGCTTATGATGGAGTCAGTGTGATGAGAGGAGAGCAGGCTGGGGTTACTCCAGAGAGAGGCTCTCCTTCTCCGACCAGATCTCACAACAGTTAGATAAGTTGCCTTTGTCATCATAAATACACACACACACACACACACATACACACACATACACACACACACACACACACACACACACACACATACACACACATACACACACACACACAAAAGTGCGCGCACACACACACAAACACAAACACACAAACACACAAAAAAGCACACACACAAACACAAAAAACCACACACACACACAAAGCACACACACACATACACACACACAAAGCACACACACACATACACACACACACACACACACACACAAGAATTTTCTCAGGATGCACCGCTGCTGGTACAATGGTTGCTTTGTACTCGTATTTCCTGTTTTAAACATCTGATTGTCAGTGATCTCATCACAGAACCAGAAACCGGACCATGCTACCTGGTGACGTTGTTCTCTGTGTACTCGCTTCGGTAGAAACCCCCCAGGTCATCAGCCAGCTCTCCAGTAAACTCAGTGTAGAGCTGGTAGCTCTGATCCTTCACCAGTTTAGCATCCAGCTCCAGAACCAGGTACTGAGTGACCGTCTGAAGCCAGGACGTCCTGATGGAGGGAACTGGTGCCGCTCCGCTGGTAGAGGTGAGCTTTGCCAGCTGCTGGTTCTCCTGACGAGTGAAGTTCAGCTTGTTGGAATGGATCAAAATCAGATCGGTGTCCTCCACACACTTGAACTTCACAACAGAGTGACCTGGAACAAAACAACACCAACATGAGGCAGGGTCACGGGGCCAGAAGGTCAGCAGCATGTTTATATCTGAGGCCAGAAAACTAAAACCTGCTCCTTTGTCAGTTTACTTCAGGTGACTCAGATCAGTGTCAGTACTGGGTCCAGTCTGCTGGTCCCAAGTGGGTCACACTGTTTCCTCCCAAACTCATCCGAGTTTTCATTTGTTTTATTCTGAACTTTCATGGTAATAAATTAAAACAAGCCTTCATACAGATTTAGCTACAGAGCAACATGCCTGAAGCTGGTTAATGAACCCTAACCAGTAACCAGAGACCAGGAACCAGGAACCAGAGACCAGTAACCAGGAACCAGACACAGGTAAACAGTCACAAGTGACCAGTAACCAGTGACCAGTCCCACATAAACAGTCACAAGTGATCAGTAAACAATGGCAAGAGTCCAGTAACCAGTGATAGGTAATCAGTAACCAGTAATCACACACAAGTAAACAGTCACAAGTGATCAGTAAACAATGACAAGAGTCCAGTAACCAGTGACAGGTAATCAGTAATCAGTAACCTGTGACAAGTACCCAATAACCAGAGACCAGTAACCAGTGTCCATAATTCCAGAGGGGTCTGGGACTCTGTTGGTTTAAGTTAATCAAAACCTAAAACGGGTTCATCAGCAGAACTGAACACTTCATGATGTCATCATAAATCATCTGATGTGGACCGAAACTTCCTGCTGGTCTCTCTGGTGTCCATCATGAAATGTAGGTTAGTGGTCCTTGTCCTGGTTCCGGTTGTGGATTTGGAACAAACCATGTCTGGATCCTACCTGTGAAGATGTAGAGACCCGTGTTTGAGTCCGGTTCCAGCCGGGGCCACAGGGTCACCGTGTAGTGGTCTGGAACCAGGCTCTTGGGCAGTCGGTACTGGTCCCAGGGCTTGTTGGAAGGAGTGGGGGTGGGAGTTGTGGAGGTGGCGGTGGTGCCTCCATTGGTGGGTGACACCTGGGTGTTTCTGGACTTTTCCTGAGAGTAGACCACAGAGAGAGCGATGATGGTGGACAGAGCGGCCACGCCCACCAGGATCCCCACGATCCCGACCGTCTTACTGATGTAGAACCCACTCCCCATGCTCCTGATGCTCCGATTCATCAGGAAAACCTGGAATCATAGCCTTTATAGGGCAGAGAGGGGTTGTCCCTCCCCCTGGACCCGTGACACATTAACAGACTTAGAACACCTGAACAGGTGGGAGAAACGTTCTAGGAAACCATCGGATTCAGATTTTAGTTGCGTTTCTCTATATTTACTTATTGATCCAAAACACATGAAAACTATGATTTTTAAAACAAAAGCATGAATTTATTTCCTTGTTAAACAATAATAAATCCGTTTCTCACATGAACAGAAACAAATCTGATGTCCAGAGAAATGAACGCAGCTCTGACACTTTGTTGCTCTCATGAAACTTAAGTTTTCCTATCAGAGGGTTTATGGGGTCAAACCATGTAGAAAGTACATAAATCACACACACACACACACACACACACACACACACACACACACACACACACACACACACACACACACACACACACACACACGCCTAAGACAACAGGAGAAGCACCATAAAAGGTTTAATAATATTTTATTGTGAGTGAATGAAACCAAACAGCTTCAAATGAAACCATCTGTTGGGTTCCTGATTGATTATTTCTGTCTGAAGGCATAAAAACAGATTTACAGGCTCTGACACTGAAACCATCTGAGGTTGGCAGATCATCCACCGCCACGTTCCTGACTCCATAACTAACTTCTGCACATGCATGTTTTTATTCTAACTGTGTAATCCTGCAGAGGACTACATGTTCGGTGTTAGAAACAGGAGTTATCTGTTTTATCTACCAGGATGATGCATTTATAAGGTCAAAGGTCAGAATCTGGAGCTTCAGGTGTTTACAGGAAAGAGTTCATAAAGAGACTTTTATCTCTGCACACTGATAAGACAAACTCCAGATTAGAGATGGCACCGTTACAAAGACATGTCCCTACTTTACTGTCAGTCAGCATTCTTTTGCAACAAGATGCAATTAAAGCCAAATGTTTAACCAAAGAATCATGGTCAATTGGCCCACAGGGCCAGAACATCAAAGAACATCTATTCAGTTTAACAGGCTGATGAAATCCTGGCCTTCTCTATGGGCTTTGATTCATGTGTTAATCGTTTTTATTATTATTATTATTATTATTATTATTATTATTATTATTATTATTATTAGACTCTGTAACTAAGAACTAATGAAAATGTAGAGATTGCATAATTCTAATGAACAACACACAAAGAAGCTATAAAGATAAGGTGTGTGAGATCATTAACATTTTCTCCTCAGCAATAAAAGCATCAAATGTTGATTATAAATATTAAAATAATGAAAGTAAAAAGTTATAAATGACATTTTAAAAATACAAACCAACACAACAGTGTGCTCCATGTGACGTTGTAGATGTCATGTTTATGTTCTGGTTAGCTAGTAACCAAGGCAACACCTTTACCTGCTGGCCTGCTGTGCTTGAGCAGGTTATTTAATCAGTAAATACGTCTGTGTGAGAAATGTGTAAAGAGAATAGATCCGCACGTGACTGAAATCTAAAATCTCCGACAACCCTGAAGGCAGCACGCGGTCTCTCGTCCCCATAGTAACAGAAAGCCGCTGGGACTGAAACGGAAGTTGTTGTTCGGAAGTTTCTAACCTGAAAACAACCTAGTTTTTCACGATTATTATCAGTGCGCGCGCGCACAGATGAGTCCAACATGCCGCTGCACGTGACGGACTACACGTGGAGCCAGACGGACTCCGCGGTCAACGTCAGCGTACCGTTAAAAGGAGCGGCGCCCGGGAGAGTGGACGTCATGTCAACGGACCAGTACCTCAAGGTTTCTAATGCGCATGCTCAGCAATATTAGTTTACAGGTGCTGGCCAGTAAATTAGAATATCATCAAAAGGTTGAAAATATTTCAGTAATTCCATTCAAAACGTGAAACTTGTACATTATATTCATGCAATGCACACAGACCAATGTATTTCCAATGTTCATTACATTTAAATTTGATATTCATAAGTGACAACTAATGAAAACTCCAAATTTGGTATCTCAAAAAATTAGAATATTCTGAAAAGGCTGAATATAGAAGACACCTGCTGCCACTCTAATCAGCTGATTTACTCAAAACACCTGCAAAGGCCTTTAAAAGGTCCCTCAGTCTTGTTTTGAAGGCACCACAATCATGGGGAAGACTTCTGACTTAACAGCTGTCCAAAAGACAATCATTGACACCTTGCACAAGGAGGGCAAGACACAAAAGGTGATTGCTAAAGAAGCTGGCTGTTCGCAGAGCTCTGTGTCCAAGCACATTAACAGACAGGCGAAGGGACGGAAAAAATGTGGTAGAAAAAAGTGTACAAGCTCTAGGGATAACCGCACCCTGCAGAGAATTGTGACGACAAACCCATTCAAAAATGTGGGGGAGATCCACAAAGAGTGGACTGCAGCTGGAGTCAGCGCTTCAAGAACCACCACGAGGAGACTCATGAAAGACATGGGATTCAGGTGTCGCATTCCGTGTGTCAAGCCACTCTTGAACAAGAAACAGCGCAAGAAGCGTCTCGCCTGGGCCAAGGACAAAAAGGACTGGACTGATGCTGAGTGGTCCAAAGTTATGTTTTCTGATGAAAGCAAGTTCTGCATTTCCTTTGGAAATCAAGGACCCAGAGTCTGGAGGAAGAGCGGAGAAGCACAGAATCCACGTTGCATGAGGTCCAGTGTAAAGTTTCCACCGTCAGTGATGGTGTGGGGTGCCATGTCATCTGCCGGTGTTGGCCCACTCTGTTTCCTGAGGTCCAGGGTCAATGCAGCCATCTACCAGGAAGTTTTAGAGCACTTCATGCTTCCTGCTGCTGACCAACTTTATGGGGATGCAGACTTCACCTTTCAACAGGACTTGGCACCTGCACACAGTGCCAAAACCACCAGCACCTGGTTCAAGGACCATGGTATCCCTGTCCTTGATTGGCCAGCAAACTCGCCTGACCTTAACCCCATAGAAAATCTATGGGGTATTGTGAAGCGGAGGATGCAATACGCTAGACCCAACAATGCAGAGGAGCTGAAGACGACTATCAGAGCAACCTGGGCTCTCATAACACCTGAGCAGTGCCACAGACTGATCGAGTCCATGCCACGCCGCATTACTGCAGTTATTGAGGCAAAAGGAGCCCCGACTAAGTATTGAGTGCTATACATGCACATTCTTTTCATGTTCATTCTTTTCAGTTGGCCAACATTAGAGAAACAAACATTTTTTCATTGGCCTTTAGAATATTCTAATTTTCTGAGATACCAGATTTGATGTTTTCATTGGTTGTCACCTATAAATATCAAAATTAAACGTAATAAACATCGGAAATACATTGGTCTGTGTGCATTGCATGAATATAATGTACAAGTTTCACGTTTTGAATGGAATTACTGAAATATTTTCAACCTTTTGATGATATTCTAATTTACTGGCCAGCACCTGTAGGTCCTATTAGACCGTCTAGGGTGGTCTATTGGACCAGGTCCATGAGAAATCAAGTCAAACTTTATTTATATAGAACAATTCATACAACAAATGCAACTCACAGTGCTTTACAAATTAAAGTGACCCCACATTATCTCCCTCCCCATAAATATAAAAGCAACTAGAAAAATTGCATTTATTGCACAAATGCTGTTTGAATGCTGGATAGCTGAAACTGTAAGCTGAAGCTGCTGAACAGCTGAACTGAAGCTGAAATTAAGCAAAACTGTCAAAATGAGCTGAATGTCTTGAAAGATGTAGAAGCAAAAGCACCAACAAGCAAATAAAGCACAAAAAGCAAGTGCTAAAAAAATATAAAATAAAACAAAATTATCGGGCTGAAATAACAGACTCATTATGAGAGGCTCAATGATATGCATTAGATTGGTGTTTAGTACCCTTTTTCCCATCTGATATTTATAGTTAAAAATATTTTTCAATATTTGACCTACATTTCAGTAACATTTTAGGTTTGTATTAATAACCTCATCTTAGTCTAAATAACACAAATATATCTAGTAACATACAATGCATTTCATTAACATGCATTTGTATTGGAAATGGTAATAACATTTAATTTCTGCTGGTAACAGTGTAACGGTTGCTTGTCTATTATGTACGGGTTGGCAATAATCCAGTTTAAATTATGTTCAAAGATAGAAGTGTTTGTGAATTAAACACTACAACGGCTTGCCGTACATCCTGCAAATGTGACTCTGCAGCGGTTCTGATCCATAGCGCTGCAGGATGCAGAATAAACAGGATGGTGGGGAATATTCATCCGTTTGTAGAGTTTAGTCTTAGTTTTTCGATCATCATATATTTTTCTGTGCACCTCTTGATCGTGAGACTGCTACCCGTTCGCTTTAGCATTAGCCAATGTAGCTGCACGTTTGATCCCAAACTTTGGGCTAGTTCTGCCTTTTCAATTCAATTCAAGTTTATTTATACAGCGCCAAATCACGACAAGAGTCGTCTCAACACACTTCACATAATAAACATTCCAATACAGGTCAATTCATTAAGCCAATCAGAAAAAAGTTTCCTACATAAGGAACCCAGCAAATTGCATTGAGTCACTGACTTGTGTCAGGAGCAATCCTCATACTAAGCAAGCATGCAGCGATAGTGGAAAGGAAAACTCCCCTTCAACAGGAAGAAACCTCCAGAGGATTCCGGCCTAGTACAAGCAGCCATCCGCCAACTGCCACGATCCACTGGGGACCAAGAAGACAGAGCAGACACAGACCTTTGTGTCTTTGCTGGTTCCTTTATTTTCCTCCACTGCATCCAGATTTCCACGCTGTGCACCAGTAAAAAGCATTTTTTCTTACACGTTACTTACTTTTGTTCAATAAAGTTCTGGGGAAAATAGTAATTCAAAGATGTTGCACCAGTGCTACATTTAAAAATAGACAGACACACTCAGACAGTGTCACTGGAAACTTTAAGCAAAGCTGTTTCTGTTGAATACTTTTTACCAAAACCAGACTGGAATTTATCTAAACGGTTGTGTAATTCCAGAAAAGTAATCAGCTGATCTGCCACAACCTTTTCCATTATTTTAGAGATGAAGGGTCATTTAGAAATGGGTTTGTAATTTTTAGGCTGAGATGAGTCCAGACTTGGTTAAGGATAGGTTCAATAACTGCATATTTGAAAACAGATGGTACAGAGCAGGATTGTAGGGACAAATGAATAAAATCTACAATGCATGGACCAATATGGTCAAACAAGAATACATGAGGTTGGTTTCTGAATGAGGTAAATGTCCTGGAAATCTACAGGAGCAAAGACAGACCATGGGTGTTTCTCAATGCCAAGGGACCTTGCCTTGGTCTTGGCCCCGTCCCGGTTGCCTAGGAGATACGTCATCGGGAGCCAACAAGACGTGTTCCTGTGTTCATGTTCTACCGAGGCATGTGTTCTCCGTTTGTTAGCTGTTTAGCTAGCTGAGCAAGGATACACGGGAGTTGTCTTGTAGCCTAGCCTTGGTCAAAAATTACCCAGAATACACCGCAGTATTTTCAAAAGGATGACGGATCAGAAGCCGGCAGGTACTTCGGGGACAATTTTCAAGTTTAGAAGTAAGACAACTAATTTAAAATGTTTTATTAGATTCAAAGAAGTTATCTATTGTTGGTTAGTTGCTAGGTAGTTTCAGCTTCGGTGACTAGCGGGTAGTAACTCACTTATATTTTTTATTTAACAAATATTTACACAATTTCAAAAGTAAAAGGGCTTGTAATATATTTATATTGAAACTAATACGTATAAAACATAACGTTATCTCCCATGTCACGTGACGTTACGTGACTGACTCGGGGGGCCGCGGTCACGTGATGCAAGTCTGTTCCATTTAACCGTTTTCTTTGACCAGGGGAGGACAGTGTCCTCGTAAGCAAAGAGCCTGGCCTCGCAAGACATCGCCTCACAAGGCCAGGCGCCTTGACATTGAGAAACACCCCGTCACTGGGAGGAAGGTGGTTGGATGGGGGGTAGGAAGTAGATGGGGGTGATATTTCTGAATTTATTCTCAAATAATGCTAGAAAGTTGTTACAGTTAGACCTTAAGTAAACTGGCATAAGAGGGGCGTGATGTGAAACTATCTGGTTGTCAAACAGGACTTTAGAGTTATTTTTGTTTACAGCAATCAGCTGGGCAAAGTAAGTGTCCCTCACTCAGAGATGTTATCAGTTCTTTAAAGTGCAGCCTGTGACTTTCTAATCTAGTTGACTTCCAACGTTTCTCGGCTCTGCGGCATATCCTTCTGAGACTGGAAATGCTCTGATTAGTCCAAGGACTTTTCCTCTTGTTAGATAAAACGATCAGCTTAACAGGAGCCACTTTATCTAAGATGCTGCAGCATTGTTTATCCAATGACTGGATGAACAAGCTTGGATCGTCACCCTGAACTGAGCTGCTGTCAGATAATCCAGAAAATCCATCCACTGCTGACTGATTGACACGTCTCTTTGATTTTAGTTCGTGAGTGAGAGATCAGTGATAGATTGGACAGAAAATGCAGCTGTGGTCTCTCACATGAATCTCTTCAACATGTAAATGATTGATGTTTAGTCCCAAAGAGAAAACAAGATCTAGAGCATGGCCCATTTAGTGTGTGGGGCCTGAAACGTGCTGCTCTAAGTTAAAGAGCAACTCACCCCCTACCAGAGAATTACTCCACTCCCACTTCCTGTTTGAAAAATGCAACAAATGCTGTTGCCTAGCAGACCGAGAGGGCGGAGCCACTAACAAATACACACAGGCTCACGACAGCATTGTGACATCATAAGGACCAGTTTACATCATAGCATACCTCTTAGCCAATAGCGGTGGCAGATTTAAATTCAAATATTTTACCTGACAACGGCACAACACTGCCAGTTTTAGGCAGAATATTTAAATTTGAACTAAGATGCACTGAAGTGCCAAATTATTGACTACACGTGTCTGCAGCACGATTAGACACTCGTTTATTTAGTTTATCAGCAAAAAAAGGTTTATTTGGGGGTGACTTGCTCTTTAAAACACTCAGTGATAGACATGAACAAGTCGGATCATAAATGTGGAAGTTAAAGTCACCAATGATTAAAACTTTTTCTACTTTGATCATTGATGATTGAAAATCTGCTAATTCAGAGAGAAAAGGGCCAGCTGGACCGGGACATCAGTAGAATGAAATACAGTGAAATACATTTGATAACCCTACTTTGATGACCTGATATTCAAAAGTTGTAAAAGGGCCATTTTTCACCAGATTACAGACATGTTTGTCCTTAAAGACCACAACAAGACCTCCACCACGATGTGACGGGCGTGGTGTGGTGAACACAGAGCTATTGGTGGACATTATTTATTCAAATGTACAAAGTTTCCATCTTGCTGCCACGTCTCCGTAAGAAATAAATAGTCCAACTTTTCTCTGATGAACAGCTCAGAGAACCACTTTATGAAATATTTTCATATTATTTTATTTCTACGTGCACAGAGCAAAAATATAAATGCAATACTTTGGTTTTTGCTCCCATTTTTCAAGAGTTGAACTCAAACATCTAAAACATTGAGTTCAGCTCATGAAAAATGGGAGCAAAAACAACTGTTGCGTTTACATTTTTGTTCAGTGTACATGCAGCTATTCTATGTTCAAATGCTGTTAAGAGGCGTGAAAACATATTTTAAGCTAATTTCTTTTCCAGATTTTCCTTTGCAGCTTTAACCTGGAGAATAAACCCATGAATAAATAAATACATGTAAACACAACAAAATAATAAGTCAACAGAATGAGTGATTGTGTGAAGACAGATTATAAAACCAAGTTCTAGCGTCCTCTGGTTCTGACCTTTAACACCCCCGCCCCCACCCACCCACAGGTGCACTTCCCTCCCTACCTGTTTGAGGCCTTCTGGTTTGAAGACATCGATGATGAAAGAAGCTCAGCAAAGATTGGAGATGGAGTCGCTGCGTTCAGCTTAATGAAGAGAACCAACAGATGGTGGCAACACCTGATGATGGTAAATGGTAAATGACCTGTTGTTGTACAGCACCATTTTAGGTTCTACAACCCCCCAAGATGCTTCACAGTAATTCATCCATTTAGTAAGTAAGTAAGTAAAAGTTTATTTATAGAGCGCCTTTCACAGATATAAATCACAAAGCGCTGTACAACATGATAAAGATCAGGGCAAATACCTCTAGCAAAAAAAAAACATCAGAAAAACAATAGCAGTGATAAAGTAGAAAATTAAATCATGAGTATAAACAAAGTGAAGGTGTGAACCCGAACAAAGCCATCATTCTGAAACATTTAGGGAGGGAATGCCTGGATGAAGAGGTGAGTTTTAGATGATTTTTAAAGACCTCTACAGTGTTAGAGAGACGGAGATTTGAAGGTAGACTGTTCCAAAGTCTGGGTGCAATAGTCTGAAAGGCCCTGTCCCCTTTGGTTTTCAGTCTGGTTCGAGGAACAGCCAGGAGGTTTTCAGATGTGGATCTAAGGTTCCGAGAAGTGGTGTGTGGGGATAAAAGCTCAGATAGGTAGCTTGGAGCCTGGTTGTTAAGAGCTCTATAGGTCAGGACTAAAACTTTAAACTGTATTCTATATTCTACCGGGAGCCAGTGGAGGGACTGTAAAACTGGGGTGATGTGAGCTCGTCTGCTGGATTTGGTTAGGAGTCTGGCTGCTGCATTTTGGATGGCTTGAAGGCGTGAGAGGGAGGTTTTGCTGAGACCAGTAAAAAGAGCGTTACAGTAGTCTAAGCGTGATGACACAAAGGCATGGATGATTTTTTCCAGATCTGCAGTAGAAACCAGTTTACGGACTTTTGAAATGTTTCTCAGTTGAAAGAAACAAGAGCGGGAGATTTACACGCTGGTGGTGATGAGCTATGATGTAGCCACAGCTGCCCTGGGGCGCACTGACAGAGGCGAGGCTGCCGTACACAGGCACCACTGATAAACACAAGTAAGCGCTTCACAGTTTCCGTGGAAACGCGTCACTGACCTGTTCAGGTGTTTCTGTGGTGAGCCTCGCTGTTCCTCGTCTCCTCTGCGTCTGAAAACCTCAATTCCCCACTTTCAGTGTGATCACCTCCACCCATGATGGTGCGTCAGTCAGCTGCATGGAAATACTATGTTCAGGTTGGTGGAACACTAGGTGGACTCACAAAGACCCCAGAGCCTCTGGACACAAACCTGGAAACAGGAAGTGAAGAAGAAAACAGCTGTGTTGGGATCAGCTGATTACTATCAACCGGCTGTTCGTTAACTCAACAGATGGGGTGGAGGCTGGTCACAAACCCAAATGAATCTGATCCAACAGGAAGTGAGGATGCTACTTCCTGTCTGGTGTTTCAGAACACACTCAGGTGTCAGGTGAAGACACTAGCTGTTAAGAATGAGACTTCATGCATTCTGAATCCAGTTAGTTGTGTTTCAGATGATAAAGAATCAAAGAGGAGGATCAGAGAAAAGGCTCTGGAGAAACATCTGCAGAAGGTTTCTGCAGAGGCCAAAATCAAAGCTGTGAGAAAACAAGCAGAGAGCAAATATGCTCTGGAGACCATGATGGAGGTGAGTCCTCTTCTTCGTCAGGACACCTGCTCAGATTAGAACAGTCATCTCAGATGTTTTGGCTGCCACAGCTAGAAGACCAGGAGAGAGACCGAATCCAGAAGATGAAGGACTCAGAGCGAGAGAAGGTGAGTGTGGAGCTGATAGCATGGCAGCAGAACCACCCAACCCCACTGAGAGACAACACAAAGACACCAGAACATGGATCAGCGAAGTCTGGACGGAACCAGCCAGGTGAGTGGACCCACCCCCCACCCCACTGTATAAGCCCCGGATCTCATAAACATGTTCCTGCATGAAGTTCACAGAGAAACCAAGAGGAGATCGCAGGAGCCTCCGCCTCCTAGAGCTGCTGGGAACATTCAGATCACCTTTACTCCTCGGGTTTTCCCAACGGCACTCAGGGAATCACAGGCGTCAGAGGAGGAGGAGGTGAGTTTACCTGGAGGGAGGGTGAGTGGTGGGGGGGCAGTTCTGCTCAGACAGACTAGACTGGATAATCAGCGGTGGTTCTGTCTGGATCTGCATCGGTGGGACCTTCTACAGCCTAACTAAATCAGTATGGAGTTGGGTTCAGATCAGAGGCTCCAGACTAACTTCTGGATCCTCCGTCTCTAAACAGTGGCTGAGGAAACAGGCAGAGGCCAGGCGAGTCGTCAGAGCAGACCTGGAGGAGCTGGAGGACCTGACCCAGGAGGAGAGGAACCCCGACTGGCTGAAGGACAAAGGCGAGTGAGTAAACGCTGACCTTTACAACCAGATATTCCTGAACTGCAAGAACTCTGAACCCTGTCGCTGTCAGCCGGTGTTTTGTGAGTGGCGACTACATGGGAGCGCTGAACGCCTACAACCTGGCCATCAGGCTCAACAAGAAGATGGCGGCTCTATACGCCAACCGAGCCGCGTGTCACCTGAAGCTCAGGAACCTTCACAAAGCCATCGAGGACAGCTCTCAGGTCTGAGGACCTCTCTGTCACACGACATTTCCTCTCAGGTCTAAAGTTCTCGTGTCAGATGACTTGTGGTGTGGACCTGCAGGCCTTGGACCTGCTGACCCCGGCTGTGGAAGCCAACGCCAGCGCAAGAGTCCGGGCCATTGTCCGCAGGGGATCAGCCTTCTGCCAGCTGCAGCTCTATGCTGAAGGTTTGGTGGTTTCCTGGACCCGTCAGGTACAGGTGAGTCTCAGCTGATCACCTCTGGTTTCTGTTTCAGGACTACAGGACTACGAAGCTGCTCTGAAGATCCAACCTGAGAACAAGCAGCTGCAGGAGGACACTCAGAGAATCAGAGACATGGTCCAGGGCTGTCCTCCTGACTGAGTCACACACACACATACACACACACACACACACACACACACACACACACACACACACCAGCTGCACATTTCTGTTATTTTTATTCCTGAATAAATAAAGTTTCTAACTTTAAAATCAGATTCCAGCCAAACTTCGTGGTTTCATCTTTATTCTCTTTCCTCTCCTCCGGTCCGTCGCTCCATGGCGGATGGCTGCTTATACTGAGCCAGGATCCTCTGGAGGTTAAAAGGGAGTTTTCCTCTCCACTGTCGCTGCATGCTTGCTTAGTATGAGGGTTGGTGTAAATCCATTTTTTGTTGTATTTTTACTCAGTTTGGTAAAAGTTATTAGCTTACCTGACATCTAGTAGCTCCAGCCATCATCAGAGGTCGCCGGTGAAGGTGGCGTCACTTCCTTTGATCTGCGGGCAGCAGAGGACGGTGTCTTGCTGATGACACGGTCCCATGTGTGATCCAATGTGAACACTCCATCATCTCTGTTCATGGTCCTGTGTCCACGTCTCCTTATCTCTACGGCTTCTCTTACCCATCGTTTTGCTGTTCTGTGTTTATGATCCGTGCACCGTCTCAGTCCACTACGTGGTTTTCTCCTGTGCAGTGGTCTGTTACGGCTGATTTCTTTATTGTACTTCCTGCTTCTTGATTGGCTGCTCTCGTGTGTCTTCGACTCGTTTCCCTCTCGCTCTCCCGACGGGTGGAACATGCACACTGGATCATGCATGGGACTGTGTCATCGGCGAGGAGGGCAAATAAACGAAGATGCCGCCATCACCGGCGATCTCTGAGGACGGCTAGAGCTACTAGCTGAAACATGTCAGGTAAACAAATAATTTTTACTAAACTGAGTAAGGAAAGAACACAAAAATAGATACCAGACAAACACAGTATGACTGCACAAAGACTCTGACACTAGTCAGTGACTCGATGCGACCTGCTGGGTTCCTTATATAGGAAACTTGTTACTGATTGGCTTAATGACCTGACCTGTGTTTGAGTGTTTACTGTGCGAAGGTCCTTGAGACAACTCTGGTCCTGATTGGGCGCTTTATAAATAAACTGAACTGAGTAAAATGATGACACAAAAGGAAAGTTTCTGAATTTATTTAAGAAAATATGAAAAACGCTGAATATATTTCATACATTTAAGTCTACAAATATTAACTGTAGAGCATTCCTGTACAGAAGCGAAGCTCCTAGTATTTACAGAGCAGATTCAGTCCTCCCACTCGGGTCCTCCTCAGGAGACACAGATGTCCTCGCTGTCTGAGTCCGACGCCTCAGACTGTTTGCTGGACTCTGATGGAGAAGAGGGGTTCTGCTGGTGGTGGAGATGTGAGTCCTGGCTGTCTGCTTCGACGCGGTTCAGCTGCTGGTGGAAGGTGCTGCCCACGTCAGTCAGGTCTGGGTGGGGGTTGGTCTTGGTGGGGAGGGTCTGCTGGCGGCAGCCACCCGTCGACAGCAGCTCCCGCTCCTTTGAGTTCCTCCACTTCATCCTTCGGTTCTGAAACCAGATCTTCACCTGAGCAGAACACAGAATCCCACAGAGTTACCGGAGCATGAATGCAACAGAGGCCTGATCGGTTCAGACCCGAGTGGGTAAAGTGATCAAACAGAAGCAGCTATTTAACCACATATAGATTTAGTTCCATGTTTAATCAAACATTCAGAAGCAAATCTAAAACATATTTATACCCTTTCGTCAGAGACGGATGGTTTCAACCGCTTTCTTCTGACACTCTGCTTCCCTTACGTCCAAATTAGCATGCTAGCTAAACCTTCAGTTTAAAAGTGCTGTACTTTTAGCCACCTAAGTTTCCATCTAACCCTCGAAATCTACGACGATTCTAAATGTTTTCATCATTTGATTCATCTTTAAACATTTAGACAGTATTGGGACTTTCAAAGTAAAAGTGGCTGGCTGCTAGTAAAGGTGTTATTTCTCTCATGAATCGACACAATCAGACCAAAATGGTCTGAAAATTATTTATTTAGTAAAACTAAAAGGAAACAGGAAGTGAAAATGTGACCTCTCAGGAGGCCAGAGGTCAAGGATCAGCCAGGAGCTGCTGGTGATTTGATCCCCGTCAACTTATCTAAGGTTTAGTAACTTCCTGCTCCGGAGAACACCTGTAAACACCTGGGGTGTGTCTCAATGTCGAGGCGCCTGGCCTCGCAGGACGCCTTGCTTACGAGGACGCGGTCCTTCCTTGGTCACAGAAAACGGTTAAATGGAACGGACTTGCATCACGTGACTGCGGCTTCCGCGGCGGTCACGTAGCGTTATATTTTATACGTACTAGTTTCAATATAAATGTATAACGAGAGATTTAGTTTTGAAATTGTGTATATATGTTGGTTAAATTAAACATGTAGGTTACTACCCGCTAGCCATCGAAGCTGCAAATACTAAGCAGCTAACAATAATAGCTAACTGCTTTGGATATAAAAAAAACATGTCAGATATCAGCCTGATGGCTACAACTAGTTGACTTACATTTTAACTAGAAATTTCCGCTGAAGTAGCTGCCGGCTTCTGAACCAGAATACACAACAGTATTTTGAAAATACTGTTGTGTATTCTGGGAAATTTTTGACCAAGGCTAGGCTACAAGGCACCACCTGTGTATCCTTGCTCAGCTAGCTAAACGGCTAGCAAACGGAGAACGGGCGCCTTGGTAGAACATGAACATTGGAACACGTCTTGGTGTATCTCCTAGGCAACCGAGGCGGGACCAAGACATCAAGGCAAGGTTCCTTGGCATTGAGAAACACTCCTGTTGTTGCTCATCAGCCTGGGAGGGGTCAGAGGTCAGCTGCTGATGGTCCCAGGATTGGACATCCAAGCAGGTTGGCCCTGAGGTCACCTCACCTCTAAATACCTCAGATTAAAGGTCAAAGGTCACAATGATGGTTTGGGCCGTCACAAAAGGACTCGAGTCCAACAGGACCTCTTCTAGAGTCCAATGTGAGACTCTGATGCTAGGACTAAACCAGGCCACAAAACAGAACCAGGATCCAAACACAGCAGCAGATCTACAACAGAACCTCGTGGTTCTGCAGGGCTCCTGTCAGACTCCAGACCAGAACCCAACTCAAACATCACGGTGAGACCTTCTGAGAGCTGCGTGAACTGAAGCTAAAATGTAAAGAAGAGTAGACCAGAACTCTAGAAGCACGTGAAACACTGATGATGTTCTGTTGGACCATCAGATGGACTCATCTCATACCACTGATGGACCAGCTAAAGCTAACCGGCAGAAGCTTTACCTTTTATCTGTAACTTAACAACCAAAAACTTCAAACATATCCTTATTTTATTAGTGTGATTATTATTTTTGGCTACTTGAGTTTGGGTTAAATAGACCAGCCACTAGGAGGCAGCAAATGACTTTTTCTCAAGGCATCTAGAGGCTAATGATGTCATATAGCGATGGTACCCTGATCCCAGGTCAGCAGGAGCTACAAACCCAGCTCTACCTGTGAGTCCTTCAGGCCCAGCTTGCTGGCCAGTTTCTTCCTGTCTGGTTTGCTGATGTACTTCTGCTTCTGGAAGGTTCTCTCCAGGGCCTTCCTCTGGAAGTCCGAGAACACGGCCCGTCTCAGCATGCCTCTCCTGGGCTTCCCTCGGGGGGGCAGGGGCCACGAGAAGGTTCCCGGGACAGGAACCACAGGTGAAGATGAGGAGGCTGAGAGGTGAAGCAGAGAGAGGAGCAGAGAGTCATCATAAAAATCACACCTCGTCAGATTAAATGTCATTTATCATTTTTTTAAAAACTGGAGATTTTTGGAAACGCAGCAAAAATGTTTGGTTTTATACACAAAAATCCCTGATTTAATTTACCTTTAAATATTTCATCTGTTCAACACATGCCTGTTTCAGCATGGAGAAGTTGTCCAGAGGAGGTAGTAGCTTCAGTCGACAGGATCTGGAGTCTTACTTCCTGATATGTGGACATCTCTCCTCTGACTGGCTAAAAGCAACACGACTCTACCACTGACTCTGTCTGATCTGCAACGTTGATGTTTTATCTCCACTAATAACACAAGCCTGGAGGAGTTCTGCTGTGTGGTGGAGTTGCTAACGCTAATGGTTAGCTTCTACTAGCTGAGACGTTCTCTGCTGTTTCATGGACTAAACCAACAACAGCCTTCCCCGTCGTGACCCAAGATGGGTGAGTCCATGAATGTTAGTGACAGTGTGATGTAGATCTTTCAGGATTTTCTAATCCTAGAGTTTCACCGTCTGCTTTCTATCAGAAGCTACTGCAGGAGATAGGTGTAGGAGACCATCTTCATGTTCAGCCTGCATGAGACACTCAGAGTGACCCGTTAGAATCAGAGATATTCATTAAAACAGGGGTTTTCGGTGATCCACACCTTTAAGAATCAAGTTTATTGATTTTATCCGTTTATTTTATTTTCTGAACTAAAACTTTGTATTTCTTCGTTCTTTTTAAACACAGCAAAAGAAAAGTTTTCCTTTACCATACTAGCTAACGTTTCGGCTACTTCCTGTAGCCATCCTCAGAGCCGTGACGATGGCGGCGTCACTTCCTTTTTAGTTTATCTGTGGGCTGCAGAGCACGGTGTCGCCCTCTGCTGCCCACGCCCCCCACGTCGATGACGCAGTCCCATGTGTGACCTAACGCATTGTAGCCTCCAGAAATGGTCAGTTTTCCACCTTCAGTCTGACCTCTTCAGTATCTGGCCATTTGGAGACATAAGTCCTAACTGGTGCCTTTAATCTTCAAGAAAGATACTGTTGTTTGCCCAGGGTCCCTCGCAAGCTCCCTCTTATCTAAGACTGCTTTGCTTCACAGACCAAGAAGAATGAACTTTCATAATTAAATCATGTAATGAAATGAACAATATGGTTAAATGAAATGTTTTGATTAATCTGTGCTTAAATTACTGAAGTTGAAATGAATATTATTACATTGAAAGATTAATAAGTATGAAATGAAATATATGACCCATATATTTAATCAGCTACGTGACTGGACAAGACACACTCACCACATCTCCATGACGCAAGTTAAAGTTAACGTCACTGCACATAGATGTTTTCTTATCCACAAAATCAGCATCTTCATATCTGAGGGAGGTGTGAGGTTGTTGGCAAAACCCTTTTACAGGGCAAGTTCTGATTTAGTAGTAAACCAAAATGTGGCCGTTATTTAAACAGCATCACTTCCTGAGTGATTTAGTGGAGGCCAGCTCTGACTGGCCATCGGAGGAAGCCTCTGCTCCCATCGCATCTTTGACAAGCTGTCAAACCTGCTGCACGCTACAGCTGACCGCAAACGGTTCCTTCAGAATAAAGCGGAACCAGCTCCGACTCCCTAAGAGTCCTTCCATAGACGCAAAACAAGTCCACCCGTTTGTCGTGACCTGGAGCCGACTCTGGACTGACCTGGTCGTACTGTGGTTTCTCTACGGGCTTCGGTACCGTGGGCTCCACGGACTCCCCAACATCTCGGATCCAAAAGAGATTCTCCGATAAGGGTACGTAGACGCGACAGATTGCGTCTGATGTGGGTTTATAAACCATCACAGACCAAATTCACTCCCACTCAGAACTCAGTTTCATCAGATACGAGGGTTCTGATAACATCACATTCACACATCATCACACCTCACATTCCTTCCACTTAGATTCATTCATCACATAAAGTGTTTCCTAGTTCTCATGTTTTTAATTGTTTAGAAAATAAATGTCTTACTTTTTATAAACTTGACTCTGTCTGAATTAATACGAAGTGTCTTACGATCCCTGAATAAACAAAGAACTTTAATTCTTCTGGTTAAACTTTCAAAAACCAATCAGATTGGATCTCCATATTTATATAGAAATTCACATCTTATTGGTCAAATGTGGTGTAGTTTATTGAGCTTAAAAAGCACCCAAAATACATACGTATGCTAACCCTACAGCGTAGACTCCCTCGCCCCGTGCCGCGTCCACGTCTCCTTATTGCTATGGCTTCCTGATCCATCTTTAGTATTTTTGTTGTTTGGTGTTTACAAAACAAGGATCATAAACAGCGGCTCTGAGGAAGGCTACAGGAAGTAGTTCGCTAATAAGGTAAAGGACGCGTTTCTTTTGCTGTGTGAAATAGAAACTTCAGAGAGACACAGAATGAATGTACAGATAAACAAAACAGGTTTTAATGTAGAGGGTTAGAGTGGTGAACCATAACCCTCCCGCTCACCGGGACCTTCTGGAAGTCTGAAGATCTTGTTAGAACAAAAGAAAATCCAGAAGCTTCTAATGTTTACAGATTTTCATCATAAAAATAACATAAATTATTATTGTTATTTGGTCCTTCTGCCCTCTGGAGGAATCAGTCACGCTCAAGCCCCTACAATGGAGCTCTAAAATTGAGGCCAACCCGGAAGTACCAAAAATTGCAGTTCCACCCTCATCCACTAGGGGCTGGTGTCAGAAGCGAGCAAATCCTCATTGACTCCCATGTTAAAAATACCAATTTCACAGCAGAAATAAACATGTTTACAGCCTGGTACCAGAACATGTTTTTTGTTTAAATGATCTAGTTTACACTCATGACAACTCTGAGGGGGGTGATTTTTTTCTCACTCTTCTGTTTAAGTGTATTAAAAGCCTAAAATTCTGTATAATTAATGAGCATCAGACCCACGTGACCGCAGAGCTAGCTCCGGGGAAAGGCCTCAGTAGAGCCTCGGTCTGGCCTGGAAACTGTTCCGGCATTTTGAGTCTCTGTGTTTGTGTATTCTTGTTTGGATATTATTTGTGCAATTGTTGGACAAAATGACTTGCTGTGGCATTAATTGCACTAATAGAGCGTCCAAGGAGTCTCCACTTCATTTTTTTCGGTAAGTAAAATTATATTTATGTATTTTAGGTCACTGCCGAGCTGCTTAGATTTTAACATGTACTGTTTAACCATGAAATGTAAATGTAATAGGGTAAAACCCAGTGCATTTAACATAATGCTGCACTTTAGAAATGCAGCTTGCCCAGTATGAGGATTGCTGTATAGTGACTTGATGCAATTTGCTGGGTTCCTTATATAGGAAACATTATTTCTGATTGGCTTAATGAACTGACCTGAATTGGAATTTTTATTATGTGAAGTGCCTTGAGACGACTCTTGTCGTGATTTGGCGCTATATAAATAAACTTGTATTGAATTGAACAGACTGATGCAAAGACTGGAGAACCTCATCTTGCTGCAGAACTCCAGTCTGCTCTGTCCCTGTTTGTCTCCAACTTCAACATTGAGTCTCCTGTCCAGTCTGCTGTCCAGGGGGACACTGAGGTATTTATATTTTTCTCCACCACCTCCAGTTCTTCTGCCAACAGGGAACAAGAGCTTAAATGTCCCTGCTCCTCCTAAAATCCACAATCATCTCCTTTGTCTTGTTCACATCTAAGATGAGATGATTTTTGCCACATTGTTCCACAAAGTAGTCCACCAGGTCTCTGTCCTAGGTCTCTTGTCCATCTCTGATAGAGCCAACAACTCTGAATGTTTGTGCAGATGACAGGACTCTGATGTGTCCTGAAGGTCTGAGGAGGACAGAGTAAACATCAGTGGTGAGAGGGCAGTCCCCTGTGGTGCTGCCAGCCTGGTCGGACATACGATGGGCGAGGTGTCCACTGGAGTCTTATATAAATCAGGCTGGATCGTGTTCAATGATCCTCAGAGCTGCTGATAATTTTAGAGTCGAAAGTGGAAATAAATAAACATTTTAGTGAAATGAAATCCATCCATCCATGTCTGAACCCACTTGTCCACGTAGGGTCACAGGGGTGGCTGGTGCCTATCTCCAGCGGTCAATGGGCAATCAGGCAGGGTACACCCTGGACAGAGAGCCAGTCCCATCGCAGGGCAACACAGAGACACACAGGACAAACAATCACACACACACACACACACACACACCTAAGGACAATGAAGACAGACCAATCAAACTAACAGTCATGTTTTTGGACTGTGGGAGGAAGCCGGAGTACCCGGAGAGAACCCACGCATGCACAGGGAGAACATGCACACTCCATGCAGAAAGATCCCAGGCTGGGAAGTGAACCCTGGACCTTCTTGCTGCAAGGCAACAGCTCTAACCACTGCGCCACTGTGCAGCCCAAGAATGAAATATGTTTTTATGATAAATATAAAAATAAATATATAAATAAAAATACCTTTAATCAGTTGTGTGTGTGTGTGTGTGTGTGTGCGCGCGCACGTGTATGTGTGCGTGTGTGCATGTGCGTGTGTGTGTGTGTGTGCGTGTGTGTGTGTGTATTTGCATGTGTGCGTGTGTGTGTGTGTTTGTGTGTGCCTGTGTGTGTGTGTGTGTGTGTCTGTGTATGTGTGCGTGCGTGTATGTGTGCCTGTGTGAGTGCGTGTGTGCCTGTGCATGTGTGTGTGCGCGTGCATGCATGCGTATGTGTGTGTGTGTGTGTGTGTGTGTGTGCGTGCGTGTGCATGTGTGCGTGTGTGTGTTTGTGTGTGTGTGTGTGTGTGTGTGTGTGTGCGTGTGTGTGCGTGTATGTGTGCCTGTGTGTGTGCGTGTGTGCCTGTGCATGTGTGTGTGTGCGTGCGTGCATGCATGCGTGTGTGCGTGTGTGTGTGCGCGTGCATGCATGCGTATGTGTGTGTGTGTGCGTGCGTGTGCATGTGTGCGTGTGTGTGTTTGTGTGTGTGTGTGTGTGTGTGTGTGTGCGTGTGTGTGCGTGTATGTGTGCCTGTGTGTGTGCGTGTGTGCCTGTGCATGTGTGTGTGTGCGTGCGTGCATGCATGCGTGTGTGCATGTGTGTGTGCGCGTGCATGCATGCGTATGTGTGTGTGTGTGCGTGCGTGTGCATGTGTGCGTGTGTGTGTTTGTGTGTGTGTGTGTGTGTGTGTGTGTGCGTGCGTGTATGTGTGCCTGTGTGTGTGCGTGTGTGCCTGTGCATGTGTGTGTGTGCGTGCGTGCATGCATGCGTGTGTGCGTGTGTGTGATTGGTCACAGCGTTTGGTGCTTTTGTGGGTCGGCTGAGGCAGTTTGAACACGAGGCCTCTGAGCTCCATCCTCACATCCAGGCCGTGACAAATGTGGCTAATTTGTAGACCAAGACAAGTGGTGCTAATGTCAGCAGTCAGAACGCCTCTGAGGAGGAGCTGATCCTGATCCAGAGTTCCTCAGATGTATCAGTCATTAAACGGATTCCAGGTCGGAAAGGTTCAGGATTATAATCCCAGATTAAATCAATTTTAGAGTATTTCAGTAGAAAAAGACACTGCCGCAAGTTTTTTCAACTCAACAAAAGTAAAAAGCGGTGAACTGTTTTGGTCACAGCTCTGAGCTGGTCCTGATGCTGTAACCAGAGGATTCCTTCTGCTGATTTTAGTTCCATCTGTGAAATAATCCAGTTCTAGTTTGGCATCAAAGACTCCCAGAAACCAGACAAATTCTGACCTTTGTTCAGTTAAAACCCGTTTCTCTTCAGAAGTGAGTATGTTACCTGCATTTAGAGACATTAGAACTAAAGCCTGGATGGTTCTGAACCAGAACCAGAACCAGAACCATCAACTGCAGCTGACCTACCAGTGAAATACGAAGATCTGACGAGAGGGTGAAGGTTGGCATCAAAGAAGGGCAGCGGCAGCGTCTTCGTCCCTGCAGGAGAGTTAGAAGTGTTTACCAAAGCAGCTGGGCCGTAAGGTCAACAACAACAATAACAGTAAGGTGTGGGTAATTACACTATTAATAATCAAGTTAACTTTCATTATTTTGTTTTTATTTGCATTAAAACATAAATTACATAAAATAAAAATGTTTCTCCTTCTGTTGAGTCAGAGCCCATCAGAACCAGTCTGGTTGTGTTCCGAACTTCACCCAGCAGTTCTCAGACTGTTGTCAAAATAACATCCTGATATTTGATCAACAGCTGATCGATAATAACAGAATTATGACTAAAGACGGATTTTATCCATAAATATTCAGACTTGATGAAACCGGCACTCACCGGTCCGATCGGACGGTGCCAGGATGGCACTGACTCCGAACTTTAGGAACCCGGAGTCTTGGGAGGTCGTGTGTGGAGACCCGGTGCCGGTCCGGTTCGGATGAAGGCCCGCCCGCTCCGTGGCAGGCCCTGACGCCCGAAGGGGACAACTGAGTCCCGAACCAACCGGGAGCAGGTCTCCGGGACTCCCCTGAGTGAAGGTCCGGTGGTTGAACCCGACCGGCTGATTGAACCGGAGCAGATCCTCCACCAGGAAGCCGGTCCGGTTCAGAGGGCAGGACAGAACCGGGGCAGCACGCAGGAGGTTCGGGTAGAGGGGCGGAGGCAGAGCGCTGCAGGGGAACATCATGGTGTTCCGATCAGGACCCAAAAATCACCCAAAGTCCGGAACCCGCTCCGCTTTAGGGCTTTATACCACCACCCACCCGTGAGCACGCGCATGAGAGCCTGGGCGCGCGCACAGGCGTTCCACCACAGGTGATGGAGGAGGAAAAGTTCTGGTTCCGTTTGCTGTGTCTGATGGGTCCGAACCGAACCGCTGTTGGTTTAGTCAATAAACCAAAATATAAAAAAATAAACTCAGATTTTATTTTACAACAAAAGAGGGGGGGGGGGGGATCCAGAAGTTATAATTTTATCATGTTCTCTGGTTCCGGATCGGCCTGTGATCCAAACCAGAACCAGACAAGCAGCATCAGCTGATCAATGAAGAAGCTATAAAAAACAGAAACTAGTTTTTTTCTTCATATTAAGATTAAATAAAATCTGGAGACACTGAGCTGAAAGAGTCTCTGATGCTTCAGACAAACGCAGCTAAACCCAAACCTGAGAAGTTCTGAAGCAGAAGGACCAGGTTCTGAGGTCCAGTATGAAACTCAACTAAAGGAAGTGATGCAGATTGAACATCTTAACCAAAACACAGAAAATGTTTTTATACCTTCAGAAAATCCCTCCATTGTGCTGAAGTGGAGCAGATGGTTCTGAGCATCAGCAGAACTAATTTCTCCTCCGGGTCCAACGGACTCTCCGACCCGCTACTCGGTTCTTAACCAGAACAGCAGCTGCTGGTGAATTAAACACCAGTTAAAACTCATTTTAAGGCCATTAACCCCAGAAAGTCTAACTAACACACACACACACACACACACACACACACCAGCATCAGGTAACGTTCCAATACTACAGTCATGCTGTCACGTTGAGAGCAGGAGGTTTGGACCCAAAATGCAGAAACACTCAGGCAGGAGTGGTTGAATAAATGAAAAGTCCTTTTATTAGGATGATGAGTAAATATCCAAAGGGCATGAAGCCAAACCTAAAATCTAGAAAAACTGAATTACAAAAACAACACTCATTTATGAGCAACAACTGGAGTTTCTAGAAGAGGACAGAACAACACTGACAGGGTTTTATACACAGGGGCTGGGTGATTAAGGGAACTGGGCACAGGTGAGATTGATAACTGAGAGGAGGAGCAGAACAGGGCAGGTGAGGAAACCAGACCTAAAATCTGTAAGACAAAGCTACTGAACATAAATAAACCTAAACACTGTAGAAATAAGACTAAAGATAAATAAACTAATGACCTCAGAGTGACAGAACTAATTATACTGGAAGCAGGAGAGGATCATACTTAAATGGGGAAGGAACACAATACACCAAAGGGAGATATGAACTAGATAATCTGAAATAACAGAAAACTAATGATAAGTGAAGTGACTAGAGGGAAACCTGGAGAAGCTGGGGACCAAAAGGGCACTGATAGGGGGCACATGAGGGGAACCAGGAGGGGGCTGGGGGCCACAGGGACACAGAACATGACACATGCTTTGTACTCATAAAAGTTCTCCTTTAACACCGTTTCCTTACAGCTGTACCGCTACTGTACAGTATCAATACCACGGTACCACTACTACAGTATGAATACCATGGTGCAGATACTACAGTATCAATACCACAGTACCGCTACTACAGTATCAATACCATGGTACAGATACTACAGTATCAATACCACAGTACAGGTACTACAGTATCAATACCACAGTACAGGTACTACAGTATCAATACCACGGTACCGCTACTACAGTATCAATACCACAGCACAGATACTACAGTATCAATACCACAGTACATATACTACAGTATCAATACCATGGTACGGGTACTACAGTATCAATACCATGGTACTGGTACTATATCAATACCACGGTACCGCTACTACAGTGTCAATACCACGGTACCGGTACTATATCAATACCATGGTACCGCTACTACAGTATCAATACCACAGCACAGATACTACAGTATCAATACCACGGTACATATACTACAGTATCAATACCATGGTACGGGTACTACAGTATCAATACCATGGTACTGGTACTATATCAATACCACGGTACCGCTACTACAGTGTCAATACCACGGTACCGGTACTATATCAATACCATGGTACCGCTACTACAGTATCAATACCACGGTACTGGTACTACAGTATCAATACCACGGTACCGGTACTATATCAATACTACGGTACCGCTACTACAGTATCAATACCATGGTACAGATACTACAGTATCAATACCACGGTACCGGTACTACAGTATCAATACCACAGTACAGATACTACAGTATCAATACCACAGTACCAGTACTTCATTATCAATACCACGGTACTGGTACCGCAGAATCAATACCATGGTACAGATACTACAGTATCAATACCACAGTACCGGTAATACATTATCAATACCACGGTACCGGTACTTCAGAATCAATACCACAGTACAGATAATACAGTATCAATACCACGGTACAGATATTACAGAATCAATACCCCGGTACCGGTACTACAGAATCAATACCACAGTACAGATACTGCAGTATCAATACCACGGTACCGGTACTACAGAATCAATACCACGGTACTGTTACTACAGTATCAATACCATGGTACAGATACTACAATATCAATACCACGGTACTGGTACTACAGAATCAACACCACGGTACAAATACTATAGTATCAATACCACGGTGCAGATACTACAGAATCAATACCACGGTACAGATACTACAGTATCAATACTGCAGTACCAGTACTACAGAATCAATACCACGGTATCAGTACTACAGAATCAATACCACAGTACAGATATTGCAGTATCAATACCACGGTACCGGTACTACACCACGGTACAGATACTACAGTACCAATACCACGGTAATGACACCACTGTCCTGATTCTGCTCTATGCAGCCGGATACTCTCTGCTGACGCTATCAAAAACAGTGCCGTATCCAGTTTTTAGACGGATCCCAGGTGTCTAAATGTTTTCTTAAATTTGATGTGTTCCTGTTTTTGCACAAAAATGTCTTCAGTCTTCTGTTTCATGTGGAACAGTAGAGGGCGCAATTAAACAGTTAAATATGTTAATACTGAAATGTACACTGTACTTTGGTCCGGTTTCTATCACTAATGTTCTCCCTGGTTCCATACCCGTATCGAGTTCCAGTACTAGCTGCTGTTAGGATCTGAAACTCGCTCCAGCAGTCGATGAACATCTCAGCCTCCTGGCAGTGAGCAGCCCCATGAATTTTCATCAAGCTCTGAGAAAGTGTGAGAACGTTCTCTCTGTTTTGAATTCATACAATAAAAGTAAAACTTGACCGAAGCGATTAGCCCGTGTCGCTGACAAATATGAGAAATGGCTGGCCTCCATGTCCCCATCACAGCCCAGGATCCTGGTGACACAGAGCACGCTCAGTGAATGCTCATTAGCTGGAGATTGGTCATGGGGGCTCAGAGCAGCACATCGCTGTGCTAACAATTTTCTCCTTTATGAGAGCTTCCATTCTTCCTTTCACAGCCCATTCTGCTCTAATCGTAGTGGAGGCTCATAACGTTCTGTGGCCCTTCAGCGGGAGGCTTAAAGCACCTGGCAGGTTGTTTAGAGGGAAGCTTGTAAATGCCTGTGGTTAAAATAGGCTGCAACACAAGCCAAGCATGGTGGGGGGGTGGGGGATGTGGTTGTCAAGTTGATTTTTGGTTTTGGTTTTGGCAGCAGAGCGGGGAGACCTGACCGAGGCATTACGCTGAGCTGCTGCTCCACCGGGATCAGAGGGAACTCAGGTAGCTGCAGCACACAGGTGCAGATCTACGCCTAACACCAACATCAGGTTCAAGTTCATAACATCCCATAGTTACAAAAGATGATCCTAATCTAACACCAGCACACGAAAACATTCTAAATGTACGTGTGTTCCGGTTTCAGTCAGAGAAACTATCCTAACAGGTCTGGTTACTATAGAAACTGTGGTTTTACTTCTGAAATGGGATGGAGCAGTGAGTTTCACATGCACGCTGACGATGAAGCTTCTCCAGCCATCTCCTGCTTCAGCCGCAGAAAAGGAATAGACAGGAAAACAAGTGGGCCAGAAAAAGCCAGTCACTTCTGCATCACATGGAAAATTAGCATTCATGGCCCCGCCCACCTACGCTTAGGACCTCCCCTGAGAAGGAGAGAGCAGCGCACGTCTCGTCTGGTAGAAATCAAACATTAGCATTAGCAACTAGACAGCATGGTGGAACACACTTGTGTTGGTAAAACATTAATGCTGCATTTTTACCTGAGAAAGAACAAAGTTTTGTTAGCCAATCAGAGGCGAGATGCTTGCACTCATGAACACACTTTTAACCCCTGAAACAGGAGCACTGGAGCTTTTTTTCCACAGAAAATGACTCGCAAGACACAGACTCATATTAGAGGTCAGCAGATTTACTGAAGTAACAAGTGAACGAGAGATTTGTGTGACTGAAGTTTCTCTGAAAGAAATTTCTCCAGGGATTTTATCAGTTAGAAGATAAAAATGTCAGCCTGTTGATGTAGTTTAGTACAAGTTAGATCATGAAGATGGCTTCAAATATAGGGTGTTGTTCAATGTCAAGGAGCCTTGCCTTGATGTCTTGGCCCCGCCCCGGTTGCCTAGAAGAGAGTCATCAGGAGCCACAAAGACGTGTTCCAATGTTCATATTCTACCGAGGCGTGTATTCTCCGTTTGTTAGCCGTTTAGCTAGCTGAGCAAGGATACACGGGAGGTGTCTTGTAGGTCAAAAATTACCCACAATACACCACAGTCTTTTCAAAAAGACGGCGAATCAGAAGCCAGCGGCTACTTCTGGGACAATTTTCAAGTTTAAAAGTGAGTCAGCTAATTTAAATTCTTTTTTTAGATCCAAAGAAGTTATCTATTGTTGGTTAGTTGCTTAGTAGTTGCAGATTCGGTGGCTAGCGGGTAGTATCTCGCTTAAATTTTTAATTTAACAAACATAAACACAACGTTATCTCCCGTGTCACGTGAAGTTACGTGACCGCCGTGGAAGCCGCGGTCACGTGATGCACGTCTGTTCCATTTAACCGTTTCCTTTGACCAAGGAAGGACAGTGTCCTTGCAAGAAAGGCGCCTTGGCCTCACAAGGCCAGGCGCCTTGACATTGAGAAACACCCATAGACAAA